CATATAGAACTGACCTGGAAAGTTTCTATCCAGCTTTCCACAGCCTCTAGGCTTTTTTCCAGATGTTGGTTGAACAATCCTGAACTCAAGGTTTATTTTACAGAAAAGTCAGTCGTTCTACTCCTGATGAATAACACCCGTCACTAAGTGTTTCCTGCTGTTCTGTGCACCTGAGAGCGCAGCTACAGTACAGGACTGAGCGGCAATACATGAACATCTGCTTAAACCTTGTTAGTGGAAAATAAACTTCAGAGAAACTGTCTGCAGATACAGAGGAAAAGTGTCATGGTTGAATTGCGGTGGACCGTACTGATTTCTAAAATATCATCAAGCTCATTTATATAAATCAAGTAAGAAACACCTCAACAAAAACTAATTATTAAAGCTTCACAGAGTAATATGTTCTGCTGGCCGCTGTATTAATATAAACTGGCTGCTTCTAATACACACAGATACACACAAAGGGGCTTCTATGTAAGCCGGCTGTATATTTCATTTTGCAGATGATTTCATTTATTGCATTGTATGAGGAACACAGTAAAAAAATCAAACCATTTATCTGAGTTCAGGTCACGATGATTTACTCTCCAACCTCCTTAGACCAAACTAACCAACATCCCTCTGACACTCAATAGAGGTCTTTGAACACGAAGGGGCAGATTTACCCAGAATGCTCCTCATTAAGAGCGTGGTGGTCTTTAGTGGAAACAGTTTTATTTTCACACTTCCTGCCTAACACGACAGACCTGTTGCTTGAGTAAATACATGCAAACAAACACAAAACAGACCGTCAAAACCCACAAAAGGTGCACGATTTACTCTCAGTTCACTGCTGTTGGTCTGTCCAAATCCACAACCCTGGAATCTGGAATATCCTAATCTGAATATCTGCCTTATTAGCAAACACACACACACTTGCCAGGAGCTTTGGAACAACAAAGCAACACCTGCGAAACCTAAACACATTCCTCTAAAATATGCATAGAGATAAGCAGGAGTAAGACATTAAACAAGAACCGTAAATGCTGCTAAAGAGGCATTGAATAATTAAGTGCTTATCTTAAGCAGATGTATCTTCAATCTAAATTAATGCAAAATTGGTGTGTTTTAAATTGGAGAGGAAATGTGGAGCAGGGCGGTCCCTTTCTCACAAGCAAAGGATAAACAACCGCAGTGTAAATTCTAGGCACGAAGTCCAAAACAGAGCAGGACAGGTAGAGAAAACCCCTCCAGCGGGCTTTACATGCCGGTGTAGAAAAATACTGTTCAATGACTCAATTTACAAATCCACCAGTCCCATTTTCTTGATCTGTCAGCAGTGAGGGAAACAGACAGCGAGCAGTAAAGCAATGACTTTATACTATTTATTCTGAATACACAGGCGTTCTTTTCCATTTTCAGCAAAGAGCTTCGGGGAATTGGAGCACACGGAGACTATAAAGTCGTCTAGACAAGCAGTAAAAAGATGTTCACAACTGTGCGCCCAACTGATTTGACCATTAGACATCTGCCATGGTTTGCAGCAACATGTAAAAAAAATATTCTTCCGTATCTCTCAACACGTTACATTTTATGTTATCCCCCCAACCACCCAACTTCAATGAGAAAAAGATATTCACTTGTTTTTTATCATTATTTTGGAGCTCAGTCTGGGCAAAGACGAAATCAAATCAACTGACATAAGGCAGAGGTCATAAATCCATCTTTTCTCTTGTCGCAAAGCAATCTTCTCGTGTCACCTTTTGTTATGGAAGCAAACAAACTGGCCTGCTCTCGTCCCCGCCTGTCACGCAAGATAGGATTTTGATGAGACTGATACTCGAGTTGTCTAGTACCGGCTCCTTCCTTACCTTAACCCTTCCACTTTCTTTCTTTTAATCTGAACATGAATAAGAAGCTGGAGCAACCATACTCTTAAACTCAGGCAGGTGAAAAGGCCTCAGTGTTTCTGTCAACAGCCCTCACATGCTGAAGTGTCGCAGGCACAGTTCGGGTCAACCAAATAGATTTTTACTGTGCAGTAGACGCTTTCCACAGCTTTCAAAGTATTCAATTCCTTTGTTTCCAAATTGACTTCATCTTGGGGATTTCTCGGAGGAGTGGGTCTGTTACACCCCACCTCTGGTTTCATTGTGTATTCTTCTGGTTTTAAACAAACACACAGGCAAATGACATGGACAAATGAAGATGACTGTATGTTTTTGCAGTGGTGAGTAATCCGGTTGCCGTTTCAATGCTGCGTCTTGCTTCCATTATCCCATTTCAACAAAGCAGAACAGGCTGACTCACACACAGCCGGCGACTGCATTCACTGTCAGCCCAGCGAACAGATCAGCTGGATCTGAATCAGCACATCTCTGAAGTACATGGGAAAATGTGCTGTAAATCGCATTAAATTGCAGTCTTACTGGCAGTCCACTGCTATCTCAGTCTCTGTTTTCTCTAGCTTTCCTTCTAAAAACTAGGATCAACAAGCTGTTTCCTACAGCAGCAGGATCATTGACAATGAAGAACCACTGGCATCTGTTGAGGTGCTTATGTGCTGGAGCTACTTCACAAAAAGAGATAAATATCAAATAGAAGAAACGTGAAAAGATTAAGCAAGGTGTAACTCAATTAATTTAGCTGACAAGCCATTTCACGTTTGGTTCGCTAAACCTGATCGCTGTGCATCAATTGTCAAATCAAAGTTTAGCAACTGTAAAAAAAAAAAAATATTCAGAACTGGCACAGTTGGGTGTAATATAGTATTCCCAACGGTGTTGAAGCAGGTCCTGGAAGCTCGAGTAATACATCAGCAGCTCTGTCCTGCTTTTTAATTCAGAGAACCCAGACAAACTCAGAGTTACAATTTCCAATCCACATCCCAAAATGCCATTTCAAAACGCAAGCTATTAAAGAAATGGGACCAATTAGTGAGCATACAGAGTTATGTAAAACTAAAAACAAAAGGTACAGTCTATTTTCTTATCATACTGAAACATAATGAGGGCTTATTAGCCACCCTTCAAAATAAGAACAAAGCCGCACCTCTATTTCCAAATCTTCTCTATACTGTAGTATGTGAGGGTGCTGACCTGAATTGAGGGCCATTCTTTTCTCATAATTTGAAGTACATTCACTACAAATAAATAAATAGGGTTTTATGTGACTCTTCTATCCTCTTTTCCTTTCTTTTATTCATATCAACGTTTTAAATCCTAAATGAATCACATTTTAAGCAATAGGTGTGATTTACTGTAGCAAGGAAAATGAATCGGCTCATAATGAGAAGCCTGCATAGAGTCGGTGAACCATTGTTTAAAAAAAATAAGCTATATTTTCCTTGTAACGCTGCATAAAGTATGGGCCTTGCTACAACGGAAATATTGACGGTAACTAACGTGTCCAATTAGGCTTTCCAACCACACAAAGGGACGGTCCACAACTGCTACTGGGATGTTCACTAAGGTACCAAACTGTATTGTCTATGCAAGCAGAAAGCCCATCGCTTTTTCAACAACATGGATTTCAACAAAACAGTGAAAGTTTGTTTTATGAACTGCAACCCAGCTCTCTCAAGAATTGGAAAATCCATTTAGAAAGCAAAGGGAGAAAACAAACAATGAGAAAACTATTAAAGACGCATTAGAGTGGTGAGTTTGAGAAAAAAGGAGCTGCTGTGTTACTGGCCAGCACTGGCAGAGGATGCTGAACAGTTTTCCACATTAATCAAAAGACAGTCTGTCACACTCACAGCATGCTGTAGGCAATTAGAGAGATACTTTATATCACCATCACCTCGATTAAACCGGGCCACCGTCAGCAGCCGCCCAACCACAACAGAGGCTCTGGCTGGAGGGTTAATAACACAAACTTCTTGTGAGCTTACTGAAATAAGAGCTATTATTAGATTTGGCAGCCACGGAGAGAGGTTTGATGAATTATTCCCAGCTATAATAAAGATTGAGAAGAAGAGAGAAACTGTTTCCATGCAGTTTAGCCCATCAATTACAGACACTAAACACATTAGGCAAAAGCACAGAAGCAAACAAGCGCTGATTAACATTCAATACAAGCTGTTAACACCAAACGGGAGGGGATGTTTTATTTACTAGCCGTGCTACAGCAAGTATCCCATTAGATCTGAAGGCTTTTCTAAAAGCACCTCTAGAAAATGTTCTCACTCAAAGTATTTGATTTAAACTTTAAGCATTTTTTTATTATTGAATTATGTCTTCTGATTTTTATCCCGGGAATATTTGGTGCTGGAATAGGCTTTCAAATGTCCATTTTATATTATTTGCAAGGGCTGGACTTCAGTTCAAAGTGAAATGTGATAAGGTGTTCTGACCTCAAACTTTCAAAACAAGGTAGCACACTAACCAGACAATGACATTGGATCAGCTGTGACCCGAAGAAAAGTACAAAGACCCCTTTAGAAGGATTTCTTAGGTCACAAGATGGACAAAACAAGGTCAAATCTAGGACATGAACACCACAGAAGCTATAAACGTGGCACTGGTGATTACAATTGCATACAGGCTAATATAGATGAAACTCCTCTTCCAATTTCTACAAACACACTCTGGCTTTGAGAAAAGGGATCACACCAAATGACAAACAGAAGTGTGTGAGGAGAGATTATGTTCTATAAGCTGTCTTCAGTCAGAGTTTGCTATCACTCCATAGCATTTACTGTGATCCCAGAGTCAACATTTACACTAAGTATTGTCTGGCAGCAGCAGGCCTGAGCTGTGGCTGCAGGTGAGACAGGAGGATGAAGCAAACTCCTGGATCACAAGAAGCTGCTTTTAAAAACACCTACATTCTTATATCAACGCATTTAGAAGTGTCTCAGTGGGGATCAACAGTGATACTGACAGATAAAGTAAAAAGCATATGCTGCTTCTGGACATTTTTAGATAAGCACAACCAAACTTGTGTTCTAAAAGTGTTTGAATAAGCGATGCAGTATAAGTCAGTGTTTCCAGCAGTCAGTCAAGGTTTGCTTGTCTTACCTCAGGTGCTTTAAGCTGCTCCTGAGACTCTCCCTCTTTATCTGAAATCTTGTTTTGAATGTCAGCAGTTGTCCTCACATCCCTCTAAATCAGCCAACAAACAAAGACTTGTGTTAGAGTTAACAACATGTTAGAGGGGGAGAAGTACTCAGTCCTTGTACTTACAGTAAGTGAAAGTAGAGCTACCAGATTGTAGGAATACTTGGTTACGAGTTAAGTCCTTTATTCAAAATGTTACTCAAGTAAAATTATAAAAGTATTAGCAACAAAATAAAATATACTTAAAGTGTTTATCAAAGCTGGTGAAGGTGCAGTCAACTTTATTTAATTTGTAAGCTGCAGGATGGCTTGTAAACGTTACTTCATTGGGTAACTAAAGTCATTTTTAAAGTGTGGTTTATATTTCACATCATGTAGTGGAGTAAAAGTACACTATTTACCTTGTTACCTGTAATTTTAGTGGGGTACAAGTAGAGGAGTGGCAGACAATTTAATTACTCAATTAAAAAAGTCCCTCAAAATTGTACTTACAGCACTGTTGAGTAAGGGTACTTATTTACTTTACACCACTGGCATGAAGACATCATATGACCCCCCCTCTCACCTGGCAATAGCCGGTGAGCTGCTCCGCCAGGCTGTGGATGTGCAGCATGTACTGGTGCAGTCTTCGCTGGTGCTGCAGAGCAGAGAGCTGGGCCTCGGTCTGCAGAGCTGTCACCTGGGCCAGCAGGCTCTGCTCCCTGCGGTTCCACCTGAGCCTCTGCATCCGGGTTTCATGCTCCAAACTGGCGCTTCTTTCCTCCAGCGCCTCGGTGACGGTGCGCAGCGCCTCCACACAGCAGTGCTGCCCGGAGCTCATGTCCTCACCAGAGAGCCGCAGCCCGCATCCTCTCTGACAAACACCTCCACCCGCCTGCAGCTCTGTTTGCGACTCCATCATGCCTCGGTTTAAAACTTGACAGGTTGGCTCCTTTTCCGCGCGAGCAGTCGGGCAGTCAGCGCACATAGTTTGCGCAATGCGCGGATAACTTCCCTGGGCAGTAGGCCTACAATGAGTTAGGAGAAAGTTATTTAACAAGTCTGAACCGATGGAAGCGTGACAGCACTAAAAAGTTTGACCGGTCTGCGCAGCTCACGCGGGGCTGAGGGGCTGCGCCACTCCTGACGCGATATCAGATGAGATGTGAAGTCTGACTGAGGAGAAAACTTCAGCCTGACTCACTTGTGCACTCTGCTCAGGGTCAATGCGATTTTCCTGCATTTCACACACCCAATTTGATACATCTAACTTTATTGTCACGCCTTAAGTAACAATATCTTTAAAATCTGGTCTTATTGTGAAGTTTGATTTAGTTGTGTGCGGTTTTAAATTGTGAGCAGCTGCTGTGCACTTTATGCGCGTTATAGATCCTCACCAGCAGATGTCGCTCTTTCTTTCACATACTGTCAAATAGTTAGTTCTTGGAAACATGATCTCAAAACTGGATGGAAAATAGTTATTTAACAGCCCACATCCTGATTGTCTATGGGGTTTTATTGTGCATCATATTAACCCTATATTAAAAGAGTTTACCTCTGGACCAGCAGTGATGACATGTCAGTGAAACGTGTCTCAAGGGGGCGATGGTCCCTCGGTGGTTAAACCCTGGCTTGTAACACAATATCTGCATGGAGACTTTCACTAATAAAGCCTTGAGTCCGGGCCAGTGTTACTTACTGCCTGACACAGCATGACATATTGCAGGCATCTCAGAGAAGGGATCACGTTTCAGGTCTCCCAGCGCAGCAGTCTGGTTCTAGTCTGCCGTGCACCACTTTAAAGTATGTTTTGTGTTGTCTGAGCTGTCAGAGAACAGGTGTAGATTTACAAAGACAATAGCAGAATCTGTCCTGGGACTGCACACCTGTCTGCAAAAACACATGCACAAGTAGGTCAGAGAAGTGTGTTTTTCCTCCTGTAAATCACCATTAATGAAATAGTAGCTATTGTATTACTCTAAAAAGTGATTTTAACATATTCAATTAGAGTTATTATATGAACTATTTCTCAGCAAATAGCTATATTTCCAGTCTGGACATTGTATGTAGGAGCAGTCAGGATCACAGCAGCCAGGGATATTGTTAGTGTGTTTTGGGGGAAAGTGTTACACAGCCACCTGGGATCAGACCTATCGCACAGGCCATATGCTCGGACTGATAAGCCACTGAAAGAAAAGTTATCTCAGTCTTTTGTTCTCTCTCTGAGCTGATTTCAGTGAATAACCGTTACGACCCCCTGATTGAAGGGGAGAGATTTCCAAAAGCTAAATAAGAATCCAAACTCTAATTCATTTGGTCTGCCCTAATCCATGAAGAGAGCTGATTTCAATCTACTTTTCATCTGCTGGATACCTGATAGGAGACAAAACGGAAACAGCTGTTTCTGCCTGAAAAACTAGAAATTGACAGAGATGGCCTTATCTGTATTATTAGAGGACAGATTGAAAAGCTATCGCTGATATATCTGGTGCTGGTAAAGAGATTTCTCCTAGAGACAAACTTGGTTTAAAAAATAAAAAGGTATAAAATCCACCCATAAATACAGCTCTTTATAGAAATACTTGCTTTAATAATAGAAGATATCTAATAAATAATAAATGACATTCCAGTTTCTCTTATTTGATGTGTGCGAGCTGCAATACCGCTATGAATATTTCAAATATAACAAGTTTAAAGTTACCATTTTGTGTGAAATATTTGAATCCCAAAGCTGCAAGGACACAGCAGCAGGTGTTGTTTTTCTTTCAAACTAAATTCCTTTTTGTTTAAATGTGTCGGTACATCAAAGGGGAGAGGGAAATCACCAGAGAGTACCAGTTGTCTGACTCAAGTGGAGGATCTGTCTGGATTTGATAGCACTTCTTACAACCTTTGACACATTTGCTTTGTGTGTGTGAAATTGTGGAAATGCCAAACAGAAAACATTCTCCTGGGGTGTCGGCTTTGCTTTGGCTTTCATAGATGGAGTTCCATTTTTACAATAACATCTGTATTTCAGGTTTGATTCATAACGTATTCACTAGTAAACTCAGGCTGACTTACTGTTAACTTTTAAACTGGGAATCTTCACTTCTCCTTTTCTCTTTACATGGTATTTACAGCTTTAATCTATAGTGCAATACAGTAACTGGGGATCAAATCCACAATCCTTAAATCGGAGGATAAATTAATTGTACATTACAGAAATGCAACAAAAGTGCATCTATTGCTTGTATAATACTTAAACAATTCAGAACGTATCCTTAGGGTTTATTTTGGTCATTCTCTATTTACATTATGCATATTCTTACTTGAATTGAGAGTCAAAGTAATATGAGAGATCTCCCTTGATTAATGACACCAACATTGTGGTAGACTGATCTTCAAATAATACGAACTCAGGTGCTTATAAGTAGTTTCCACATTACTGTATGTGACGTTGTACTTCTTACAGTTTAAAGACAAATATTGTACTTTTTTCCACTACATTAATCTAACACTTAATAGTATAGGTTGCTTTTCAGATCAACATTTTTACATATATATTTATGAGGAATACAGTTAAGAATTGCTTCATTGGTATTTATTTAAGACTTTTTAAAAGGGAAAAAGGGAAGGTTCCCTAGTTCCTCCTTTGTAAGGAACTGTTCTGTGTAACAATACTTCTAAATATGATACTTCATTATGTTTTCATATGTAATTTGACCTCAATTTTGTAAATGTAATTGAGTATTTTCAAGTTGTAGCACTGTTACTTCATTGACCATGGACTGTAAACCTGACTCACACCAATACTCAGACAGAAGTTCTCTGAGCTGCACACACACACTAACAGTCAGAAAGGTTAGTGCAAAACAAGATAACACATGAGAGCATTTTAATAGTTAACTACACTTTTATTGTTCCTTTTCCAGCCAATGATAGGTTCCAGTTTCATCCCTCACAAGTGCCATTCAAGTCCAGCGAAGCACTGAACTTCCAGCTAACAGCCAAACATGCCGCCACGGATGCTATCAAACCGCCTCCATCGTGTATGAGTCTGCAGGACCATTTCTGAACATGAATGAGTGAGATTCCTTTAGTCAGTTTAAGACTTTCTCCATAAAAAATCCTCTCCCAGAGACATCATATGAGATGACTGGCTTAATGAAGCTTAACAACACAGATTTAGGCTCGACACGGTCTCTGACGTAAAGGGATGTCACTCGGGAATGGAATGTATTTCACATGAAGCTGAGAGGTTGACAAGTTGCTATGATGACGATTTGTTGCAAAGTAATGTACCGCTTCGTCTCCAGTGTCATGCATGTTAGAATGTAGAGCCGCCGCTTCGTCCAAAAGTTCAAGGCATTCATGCATTTGGCAACTCTTTTATGATTTGTCGCATGAAGTAAAACTGGGAAAAGCACTTTGTGGTGGATGTTGATATAGTCACGATGTAGAAGCATGGCCAGCATCAGTCTCACAGGAAATGAATCGGAGGAATTCAACACGCAGCATTCGTTCTCCTCCATTCGAGGGAAATAATGTTTTAAACTGTCCAACCAGAAGTGGGTCATGACATACAAAATAATAATAGTAAACAAAAAAACGACAACAGTTGATAATGTTTATATATCTCTGATCACATGTTAATAAAAAGACAAAAACGGTTCAGTGGAAACAATGTCATGAGATTTTGATGGGCTCCACTGACATGGATGGCTTTGCTTTTCGTCTGCTAATGCCAGATAATGAAAAATTATATATACAAGATTACTGTTAAAGGAGCTAGGCAAGTTGTCTTAGTAGTAAAAGATAAAGTAGCCACAGATGAATCGTACATTGCACAATTATTGGAGGGCATGAGCGTCGCTACCTTTCACTATAACTGTTAATAGTGACTCTCACACAAAGCCATAAACGAGGAAAATGATTACACAAAATAAAATGCCAACATTCTTTACAAAGCACCCGCTGGTACCACTGAGGTCCTAATGATACAGTCAAAACAAAAGTTTTTTTTTAGTCAATTCAACAATGACCCAGATGTTGTGGCAAAGCCTTGATCACTGCACCGTTTTACAAATATACTAGAGGTGGCCGGCAATAAAAATAACCACAGTCTTCTGCTGAAGTTTTAAATTGGACACAGCATGTCTGATACGTTGTTCGGTTCACTTCCTGCTCCTATGGTGTGCTATACTATATATATATATATATCGCTTTTTTAATATGGATCCATTTCGCTGAACTCCAACACACTTTTTTAACTCTTCTTCCATGTAACAATGTTGACATGCACACAGTTTTGACAGTGGTTTTCTATCAATTGAGCTCATGTTATGGTTTGTACAAGAGCACTGATTGAAGGTCAAACCATTCTTCTTTTTGTTCAAATAACATCCATAGCATATTAGATTAAAAAACAATATCAATTATTGGATGCATTATTTCAGCATGACTTGTTTCTCTATGTTTGTTAATAATAAGAATCAAGTATGAAAGAAAGAGATTTGCTTTGACTGTATCTTTGTAACAAAGGGTGTGCTTCATTTAAAAAAGAAAATGCCACTGAACTGCAAGTAAAGAAAGACATAAAGACATTTTTATAAACGTATACACTTATCTTTCACAGCTACTTGTTAACCTTATACTATGGAATGCACTGTGGGATAGATTTTCTAAAATATCCTAAATCAAATGAAGCCCACATTTCTGAACAAACAGCGTTTTTATCTACAGCATATAAGAAAGGTCGGCTTCATGATGTAAAAAGACTTAACAGCCAACATAAAGTGTAATGCTCACACTTCCAGTCATGATCCATTTTAAAACAAGTCATTGTGAAAGATAAGTGCAGTCGTTTATATAAGGCATATTTAAGTTGACTCTTTTGACACCCCTCCAAAGAGGCTTTTTATGGATACATAAGGGATGTCTTTGTCCAATTCTTCAATTTCTGTGTATATTTCCACAAACATATCCCAGAGGGCAGGAGTTGGAATATATAACGTCCTGGGGGTTACGGGGTGGAACCAAAAGATAGTGGAAATAATCCCAAAGTCCCCGTAAAGAGTCTCCTTCACGAAGGACAAAGATGGCGCTACATTCAGAGGTTCAGGCAGAGGAGGGCCAGCAGGAGCAGGGAGAGGAGGCTGAGAGCCGGGGCGGCCAGGACCCCCCCACCTGAGAGACAGAGAGAGAAGAAGAAGGATCAGATTCTGCTTTTCTGCTGTGAAATACCACTGTTTATGTGGCATATACAGAATGTGCAATATTTTAAACATTTTAAAGTATATATATTTAAAATGTCTAAATGTGACTGGCTCCTTCGCTCATTTGATAACTCGCTTTTTAAAATATTGCAACTTTTTTACCATGGTTTTCTTTTTACTTAGTTATTACATGTTTTTATTAGCCTTTTTATTTATATATTATATACAAGTCCACTCTTTTTTTGTCTTTTATCTGCACTGTTCCTATCCTGCAGTAATACTGTACATTCCCTGCTGCCGAAGGATAAATAAAGGATTTCTGATTCTGAAAAAGAACGATCAAATGTGTTGCTGATTGTACGGAAAAAATATCTAAATATATCTATTGCGTGTCTTGCTCTCATCCATCAAACTAGAAACCATGTTTGGTGCCTGAAGTGTGATAGTATACCCCATCTGTGCTGAGATCACCTAAAATGCCCCTTCATTTGTCAATGCCCTGCATTTGAAATCCCCCACAGATTAAATTCCCGGGTCTGTGAAATCGAGCTGTCAGGTGGGTCTGCACTGAGCGATAAGGGATAAGGAAAAGCACAGGAGGGGTTTCCTCTACTCATCAAGATCAATTACAGGGGCTTAAGGCCTCCTCCATCCAGTCAGCCTACCTGTCAGTCCATCAGCCGGAGAGGGGGCTATCAAGGCTTTAGTCACGGACTGTAAAGTTTCCCATCTCAGCCCCCCCCAATCTAAAGTCTGAAACCCTGAGTGTCAGCGCTGCGGCGGCCCATGGGAACCCTCTAGCTGTGACAGATGATAACCCAGCGCCAACTTTGAACCTTGGATAATCTCAGTAGCAAATGGCAGGCCAGGAATGAACAGTGTCCCTTCAGCAGTGTAGATTTAAAATGTGATTTGATAACTGAAGGCTTTCTTTATTTATGTTCCACTGATGTGAAACTAAACCCAGGTGAAGACAGAATACAGTGGTATCCTCCCAAGAGATTACTCTCACTCAACTAGATTTAATTTCAGTGTTCATTTTAACACAACACACAATTGAAAGAAAGGGTCTTTCTTCTAAAGAAGAAAGTGTCATCAGCTTTTCTGCCACCTTTTTATTTTTGTACTTTATTAGAACAAAGATGACCAAAAACAACAAATCAAACTCAGGCAACCAAAAACCAACCAAAAAATGCGATCATTCATTTAATTTATGCAATATAACAATTCTAAAAAGTAACTGACGGATCATTACATATTCTTAATTTGTCTATAAGTGATACGTTAAAAATACCTTAAAATTCAAGATTTGTATTCTACTTTTTTATTCAAGCTTATCTTTTTCTGTCTTTGCCAAAAAAAAGTTTGATTGGTTGTCAAGCTTGAAGAAGGTGTGGTCTAAGAAGTGAGATATTCACTTTGGTTTGCGTGCATTTCATTTTTTTTGGATCAAATGGAACCAACTTAAAAACAAACATTATATGACTACCACATTATTCAGCATTGTAAACAAAGAGCAGGAATTAATGGTGGAGTGTGTTTGTTACCTGTGACGTAGATTTGTGACACGGCCCCATCCCCCCCCTCTGTGAACGCCCGGACCTCCACCACCCAGTTCCCCCCCTCGGGCAGGGGGAGGTTGATGTACTCCTTGTTGGTTACGAACAGCTTATTCTCGGTGTGCCCCTGCCGCCTGTACAGCACCTGGGTACAAACATGTCATGTATTAGAAATGAAAGGAGCAGCTTCTGTTTACAGTGTGTATAAAAGTAGAGCTGTACCCACTTTATAACCATTTATCGACGCCTCGTTACCAATCGGTTCCACCATTTCCCAGGCGATATTCAATTTGTCGCCTTTAATCTTTTTCCCAATTATTTTGGGAGCTCTACTTGGAGCTGTTAAGACACAAAAAAAAAGGAAAAAATGGTTTAATTAAATTGAATGATATTGTTGTCAAACAGAATCTGAATACTTTATTCATCCCAAGGAAAACTGTGATTTGTAAAAAATGAATCCGATTAAACAGAATACAAAATGTCCAATAAAAAGATTTAAGCATTAAAATAAAAATATGACATAAGTTAAAGTAAAAACATTTAGATCAAAGATTAAAACATTTTTTGTATATAAACATACTGTAAGAAATTAAAGTAAAAATGTGCACATTGTACTACAATATATCAAATGTATATTACAATATACACAAAGGTGTATTTGTATAATAATAGTAATTTGTAAGTAGGGACTAAACATGACTCCAAGATGCAGTACATGTTTTACATGTAGTTAGCTGCATGTCAACACTAAACTGATTTGAAGCACAACATACGGGGTCTCTTGGTGAGGATCTGGAAAGGCTCGCTGGCCGGCCCAAATCCTGCAGAGTTGTACGCCCGGACCTCCACCAGGTAGTAGGAGAAGGGCTTCATGCCCTCCAGCCTGGTGCTGTTCTCATTGGCGCTGACCACCACCCTCTGGGCCCCCCCCTCAGTGTCCTCTTCACTCATCCAGTACTTCACCTGGGACACAGAGGAGCAGAGGATCCAACATCGGCTCGGTTATTAAGTCTAGCTTTTACGACACGTCTAAGAACTGATTTAAAGCATGAGGAAAAAGATAGATGTCATAAACAGGTAAATAATTAGACTTCCGATCGGTTAAAGTTCATTTATAGAACCGTGTAGAAGTTATACTAATGGTTGTTAGGATAAAAATAGAAAAGGAAAAGATCTTTAGGAAAAAATGGCTACTACATGTACAGTATAGAGCAAAAATGTTTCAACAAATCAAATAAAAAAGTATTTAGAGATTGAAATCTGTGTTGTGATTGTTACGATTCTATTCTAAAGAGAAGCATTTATTTATCTCATTGTACATGTATAATGACATTAAACGATTATATTCTATACCAGCCATGATGTCTGAAAACAGCAGTTAAAAACCATATCACAAATATATTTTCCAAGCTGCAAGATGAGCCGAACTGTCTTACCCCTCGACAAACTGTCTTACCCCTCGACCCTATTTTTTCCCCAGGAGGCCTCAGTGAAATGTTCTACTGACCTGGTATCCGTCTATATTGCTCTGTGCGAGATGCAGCCAGCGCAAGGTGCCTTCTGTGGCAGAGAGAGATTTGCCATCTACAATGACAGGAGCTTCAGATGGAGCTGAGGAGAGACACAGTTTGGTAAAAAGGGTGCAGTAAGAGAAGCATATTTACAGAAAACTCCAAAGTATTTGATATGTATGAACATATTGATACACTAATGGATCCATTAGTTACCCTGACTATAAACTATCCATGTGTATCGGCCACACCAATGCTACATTTCTCTCTCAGTAGTGCTCAGGCATCATTTTAGTAAAAATCACTCTTGGCCAGCGTTCCTACACTGGGCCAGAGACGCTTCTCCGAGAATTATTGTCCGGTTATACACTGTGTGTTGCCTGTCCCTGCCAGGATACTGTCACTTTGAAAATAAATTGTCATGCGGGGCCTTGAAACAACAAGTCATCACATACTGTCATCGTGTTGCACACAGAAACAAACACACAAAATCAATTCTGCACCACCAGCACACAGAAACAAATGGTCCCACCCCTGGAGGCAGAGCACTGTTGCAGGCTTCGCTATAAAATCACAGACGCTCAAACGGCAAGCGTTCGCAAATTGGGTTACCATGGCAACGGGGCATCTCTGTAACCTATCATGTCTGGGTTGCCAGTGGTTATCTCAACTGTCTGTCAGTGGAAGTTAATAACTAGGCTAAATGCTTTGCATCCTTGGGCGAATTATCAGCTTTCTGGTTCATGCTACATAGATCATGATAATCCCCCCGCAGGGAGAGGCGGAGAGAGGGGAAGATGGGTTCACTTTCAAGGGGGTATTAAAATTCCTCACAACTATACATGAGAACTTTTATTAAATGAGTCCCACTCCATTGGAAACCCTGCTAGTGGTAAGTAGCTGACACTGACAGATTGTAATAGCAGAGTGTTGGCATACTGGAGAGTTCCTCATCCTGTGTGAAAACAGCACCGGGTATATCAGCGTAGCACATTTTCATTTTTTATGCTTCAGTGGTGAGAGTTGTACATCTCTCTCTCCAGTGCTTACCGTCCTGTGCAGTGTAAATTCTGGCTGTTAGGCTGAAGGGTCCCTCTCCTCTGCTGTTAAACGCTTTGACCTTGACTTGAAACTCCGTGGATGCAGGGATGGCGGCGTCTTTGTGGACGTAGTGCTTGGCCTGGGGGTCGGCCAGCGTCACCCGCATCCACTCCGCTCCATCGTGTGGTTTGAAAGCCACAATGTAGCCAAAGTTAGGCCCATAGTAGTACTGCGGCTGTACAGGCTGATGACAGAAACATCCAAAATCGAACCGAAGTTTCCACGATCAAAATGATGCATCATATATTCATGCTAATGCTATAGGTTTAACAGCAAGATAAACCTAGTATATATATACTAGGTATATATATAGGGATTCTAGACACTATTAATTGCATCGTAGGTGATTCTTTTACCTTGTTAATTATTATTATTTGTATTTTTTATTCAATGTTTTATTTATGTATCTATTTCTTCTTATGTTTTGTTTGTTTTTGATCGTTTGTTTGTTTGTTGGTTTTCGGTCCTGTTTTGCCTGCCCTTACTCAGTTATATTGTCTTTTCTAGTTGGACACCTGAAATGAAGCATTATATCCATCCCATAGGAATCTGTATCACTGCTGTATGTATGATATTTAATAACTTTGTTTAAAGCATATTGCACTAATAAGATCATTTTTACACTCTTTGAGTAATTTACAAAAAGTCGTGACACTTTTCTGGCTCGTCCCTCCCTTCTCACAGCATATGTTGGGTAAGACATGCCTGCATTAGGCACTGCCGCTAACCTCTAAACACATCTCATTCTCCAGCTGCTCGGGGTTTGAAAAGCAATGAGTAAGCCAAGCAAAAGGCAATTTACCCCAGAGCTAATTCATCAAAGGCTGCGGCGGGGAAATGGAGGATAATGATTTTGGTAACACATTGATTTTTTTGTTGGTGGTGAATGTTTTGTATGAAATTAACACTTATTTTAGTTTAAGGTAAAATAAAATGCATCAGAGGCATGAGAATGTGTCCATCCATATTATTTGTATTTATTTTAAATCTCCCTTGCATCTTACTGTAATGGCTGTGTTATCCTTCAGTTTTCTATTGTCCAACTATATTTGTTTCATTTAATTATATTTGCTTTGTTTAAGCATGTGTCTCCTTCTTTGGAAGGAATTTTACAACTTCGATGCTCTGGAATAAAGGTTATCATCATTCTAAGAAAAGATTCTCCTCACACGTTACTGTGAGAAAATGGCATCGTGTCTCCTTTCTTTGAGCTTTCTTTGAGCTAACTGTATGTTTTGACACTTTTCCCAGTGGAAAGTCCACACTCACCGTCCACGTGATGGTCAGCTCTCTGCTGGTCCCTCCGCCACCGCCCACATCAGAGGGCGCCACCACAGGAACTACAATGAGACGGCAACAGCAAAAACTCTGAGCCCACATGCTTAGAATCCACACAAACAACGCCAACCCACACAGGCTGTAACCTATCCCTGGCAGCAGTACTGACACATCCTCCCTCTGCAAACACAATATCAATATCTTCACCCGAGCCAAATGCAACACCTTTATGTCAATTTGGGAATCTTGCCACTGAAGGAAACAGAGAGGCAAAAGTTCTCTTGTTTTGTCTCGAGTCTAGTAGCTAACTCTCAAGGTATGGTTATTGTTTTAAGAGAGGTCAGAGTAGGCCTGTGATTTCCATTTTATAATTGAATTTCAGTATACAGTTTCAGCAAAGTGCTCATTTGTAGCGGTTTGTGTGGCGAGTCTGGCAGCCGGCTGCTGCTGTAGGAAGTACAGCTTCATGGGATTTCTGCTGACTCATTTCTACAGCGATACTTAGCGTAAGTAAACAGTGCTAAAAAAAAATGATGAAGAATAAATAACAGAATGGAAAGCTGGATTGTAGGAGCTCATTTCCATGACCTTTCAAGTAACTCTGAGGCTTCATACTGACAATCTTCTGTATGAATGGTAGCTTAAAGTCAGGACATTATCTTACTTGCTTCCAGCGTTTTCTCTTTATGTGACGGGCTGCTTGGCTCTCCTGTCCCCAAGGTGCTGGTGGCGATCACTCTGAACTCGTACTCAATCCAGGGGATCAGATCCGCCACTGTGGTCATCTCTGTATTCCCTTCTACATCTGCAGGAGCTAGAGAAAAAAAAACACAGATTTTAATGTACAGTGCCAAATTGTCAGGGTTATAGCACGGTATATTCAAATAATGCACACCATAAGCTATGCTATTCCTCTATTTAACAAAAATGTCCTTAAAACAACAATGAAGTTTCATTTGTGGAGTACATTCCTATATTTTAGGTCCTTGAGTCATGACTTTAGCCATTTTTAAAGTCACATTTACAACTGTATAGGCCTAAAGTATAACTATGTGGCATGACCCAAATTATTGTAACACCAGTGCCAGCTCAGCATTTAGCTCGCAGTGTTTATTTGACAAAGCAGTGTGCTGGAGTTTCTCACATGTAGTGGCATTCTTCCAGACATCCTTTGAGAAGGGGTCCCTGTACTGGATGGTATATTTGGTGATGGGGTTATGGTTGTCTGCTCCGCGGCTCCACTGCAACGTTACACTCTTGTCAGTTTTGTTCATCACTCGCACCCCACCTGGGGCTCCGGGGGGACCTGAGGTACGGAAAAGAATAAGAGACACGTTAAAAGGGTTATTTGATGGATGATGAATAGTGTGGCCGCAAAGATGTGTTGAGTTTAGCGACAATGTCCCTTACCCTTCACAAGTAAAAATCCTCTAACAGGATCACTTTGAACTTTTCCCGACAGCAGATAGGGAACATTTAATTAATCCCAAAGACAGACAGAAAGAGGGTATAGTTCTACTAAAAGAGCTTCATCTTATTCAAGCTCATGGGAAAATTTTAGCTACAGTACTGAACCTTTATACTTCAACACCAGTCTTCAAAAAGCTGACTGCATATGAAACACAGCACATCAAACCCTTACATTCTTCTACTTTAAAAGACATCAGCGAAGAATGATGGATTAAGACATTACGTCTTAAAGCCCATTGACATATATAAACTAAAACTTAAGCACAAGCGTTTGAATCCAGTGCTTCTCTTGGTCCTCCTGCTCTCCTGGATTCTTCCTAAGGAACATAAAAACGGCCTAATAGAAAAGCCAGACTGTATCAAGGTTAGCTTCCCAAGCCGCAGCCTCAGATATCAGCCAGGATTTACTTTTTTTTTAAGTCTTGAAACTAAGCTGAGACAAGTAAGGCGATTAGACATCCAAAGCTTCTGACCCTTCAGCTTCCCCTCGCCTAAGGAGTGAAAGCAAAGACGGTGAAAAATCTCATTGCAAGAAATGAAAAGTACATGCAGATTTTAAATGTCCGTACAACAGTCACAAACAACTAGCCTGGCAACATGTTTGAACTGATGAGCTTAAGCCTTTTAAACTCACTGACATACTATTTGTCTAATATATCGTATTCAAATTACTTGTATAGAGACTATTCTTGCACTATTTCTATTCAATTTTATTTGTATTTACTTGCACTATTTTATTTGTTTTATTGTGTTGCACTGTTGGAGGAGCCTGTTGACTTAACTACTGTACACTGTAGCTATGTACAAATGAAAATAAAAGCCTTGAATCTACTGTTTAACAAAGGTCATGGATAGTTTTCATAATCCAGAGACAATTACATTAACCCGGCCACATTTCAACACGGTTTCAGGCAAGACTGTAACATTACCCTAGAATAACACACACACCCGTCATATGAAAACAGCTCTCCTCCGTATCTGAAATCCCTACTAATAACAAGCTACAGGTGCAGAGCTGTGTCTTTAGCTCGGGCGATCTCCTGACGCAGGTCTGCTTCCTCATCTGCCGTGATAAATGGCCGTCTTTCATCTCTCCCTGGCTGCGCTCCGGACCGCTGGCATCTGGCACTCCATTAGGAGCGGCCCAGGGCCTGTGTTTTGCTTCTACTCTGGGAAACGTTACAGTCAGCTGCTGTGCTTTCACCTGGCCATCTGTCAACACCTGCTCAGAAAGCAGCAGCGGCGGCAGCACACCCAACGCACAACAGGGATCACCGGCAACCAGAGCACTGCTAAGAGTTCTTGGGTTGCTATCTGAAGAGGCCCTTTGTCCACCAACACTAGGCCTGTTTCAGGACCCGAGGGGAGGCTGTAAGGCAAGCCCTCACTCACCAGGAAGTGGAGGCTGAAAACAGAGCCTAATGAATCATCCAGGAGGTGAAATACAGTAGATGACAGACAGAGCGCAGCGGAAGAGTGGCAGTGTTTGTTTTGCACGTGTTGACGTCCGTATGTGGCTGGGAGAATAAGAAGTGAAATCATCAGCACTCGGTATGAAAACACTGTGATTAAAGAAAGAAATCTATGATGATCTACACACTTAAGTAATCAAATACTCATCACATGGCATTACACAACTGATTTCCACAAACAGGGTAGTTGCTGTTATGCTGACAGCCCTACATAAAGTGCTACTTTATTCAGTTATAATGAAGATAAGTGGGCGCTGACACGCGTTCAAAACACTTCCTAGTGCTCCATTCAATTTAATCAATCTCTAAAAACCAGAAAAACCCAACCCAATCGTCTTTGCCTGGCTGAGTTCCTGAATTAAAAACTTTTCCTGGCCCTTTCTCTTTTGATTTCCTTCGCATTGGGTCTCAGGATCGAAAGGTTAACTGGCAATAACAGCTACGGTCTGGTTAACTCATATTCGAACATGCACTGGATAACGTACTCTGTCTACTTTGTCTTTTTTCCAACACGTGGCCTGACAATAAGGACTTGGGGAAACATTTTAATGAGTAATGTAGAAGAAATATGTGTCTGATGAAGTGTGGAAGGATTTTGTCGACGGTTCAGTTTGATAAGCTCTATCGAATCAAACCCCTAGGAAACTTGGCTTTAATCGTTAGTATGTCTATAAAACATTATATATTCATTCAAAAGTAACCAGCAAATATTACATTTTAATAGCTAGTTATTAGGAGTTTAACAGTCAAAACCCTGCTTTATAAGGTCTGAGTTGGCAGAGTTCAATCCGATTTGATGCAGTACCCAAACAATCCAAAACGAATAATAAAATAAAACAAAAATTACAGAAATCTCATGTACTGTAACTGCATCATTTATGACTCACCCCTGACAACCAGGTGGGCCGAGGCGGTCATGTTGTCGATGGGGGTCTGGGCAGTGCAGGTGTAGCGTCCAGTGTGCTTCAGATGGACGTTCTTAATCAGCAGCTCACCGTTTGAACTTCCATTCTGCATAAAAAAACAAGACAGAAAACCGTTCATTGAGGACCTCAGCAAAGCTTTCCCTCTGTGTTCCTCTCGGAGCACAATTGTAATGTGTCAAAAATATGAAAAAGGACATTTCAATCACTAAGGTAATCCTTCAAGACAAAACTTGAGCATCCAATTAGGTGAACTGAACATGGGCTTAAAGCTAAAGGTCTTCACCTGTTTTCCTATGAGGAAATGTCAAGTTCCAGACAGTGTTAGCTCTTATTAGCACTCTCGCTGCAGAAAGGTTAAACCATCACAGAAATCTACTTTAAAATACATGACTGCATTTAACTCTGTTTGAGAGTCAAATTGGCTTTGCAATTGCAACACAAACAGTATCTGAAACTCCTGGACCCCATTTCTACGAGGGTAAAATCCTCCTTGTGTACAAAAATGGAGTATCATCAATCACAATCAAAATAGCGTTTGCCCAGTTGGCACGCAGAGTGACAAATGAGAAATGCTAACCGCTAACTGATGCTTTGAGCTGCACTTAGAGCCAAAGTGAGTCATGTCAACAATAATGGATTCAAGCGGAAATTGCTATTAAATTGCTATAAAATGCACTCAGGACAGGGATGAGAAATGGCTTTTGGAGTCATACACATTTAAAGCAGGCTGTACTTTTTCCATTGCAGGTATTCCAATAAAAATACTACGGACATTGACACAACTTGAAATATGACTCCAGGCTGGAGCTGAGCTGAGCGGTTTGGGTAGAGTTGGCGCTAAACTTTGATTATTTATGTAAACGTTTCTTTAAAATACTTGAGGACCAGCATCATGTCTCACCAGGGTGCGTTCATAATGTTGGCTTTCCTTGTGTAGGTCAATGACCCGGCCATCCAGGGACCAGATGAAGGTGATGTCAAGAGTGGTGTCATGTGACGCTGCACACTGCATCGCGATGGTCTCACCCACTTTGACGTCAGCATTGGCCGGTGCCAACGTGATCTTAGTGGAATCTGGGGAACAACGCAAGGGGATGAGAGTATCAGTGATGATGAAGAATAGATCAATCCAGCAGTAGAAACTTCATTAAGGTACGAAATGGAAATGTGATTTAATAGATTAAAACAAATAACAGGTGAATTACTTAGGAATCCAAGCAGTCAAATACTGAAGTAGCCACATCTGTGGTACAGTACTCTAATGGTGTGTAAATGAGTGTTAAATAACTAGAGCTGTTCAATGTGCACAAATGTCCAGAAGAGGGCAGAAAAGAGCTATAAATAGAGGTGTGACGTCTGGGATTTCATGTCTCAAGAAAAAATAATCCCAAGCAAAAAATAGCTCATAGCAATTAGATTATTTGCTATTCAATAAAACTGTCTCAAAAAAGGTTCATAATTCAAACCATTTTTCTCATTTCTCATTGAACAGTGTAAGGACCGAGCCCCTGTCACATCTAATCTAATCCAAAGCAATCCCCTCACGCCTCTGTCCTTGGGGAGCGACTGAATATCCAGCCTGTATACTGTCACTCTGCTCAGAGGGATATCATTCAACAGTAGACATTTGGAGGTCAGGGCTGTTTTCTTGGACCCAGAGTGACAGGAATGATTGCCAGCAAAGGTCAAAGCATCACTGGAAACAATAAGTCTAAAGAGAGTTATTAATTTGGCATGTCTTCATTACCTGTGACCAACAGATCCCCCGTGCTGTTGGCCTTGCCCCGGTCGTTCTCGGCGAAGCAGGTGTAGCGTCCTTTATCTGCCCGCGTCACGTTGAGAATCTCCAGGCTCCCATCCTCCAAGATGAACACCCTGAGAAGGAAACATTATTCATTCTTCAAACACTGTTGCGAAAGAGCTGTAATATAAAATATTCAGCACGATATGGAGGTCAAAAGTCCAGAGTATATTTTCCTATGCATGATGAAAAATGAAAAATGATGAAAGTAGTAGGCAGTTCCCTAATGGTATGTAAGGTTTTCCAAGAAACAGAATGTGAACTTGAAACTATTCAGCAACATTAAATTGAGCTAACAGCAAGGCAATATTGTTTGATTTTCTTCTGCATATTTCAATTCATGCATGTAAAATAGCATGGTGCCAGCTGCCCTGCACTACTCCACACAGACAGTCGCCATAGAGATGAATATAAGGCATTAGCTGCATAGTCATTTTGCTGTGAGTTACTGTGGTGCATGAGGGGGGTGTAGGGTGGGGGAAAGGTTTTGGGGTTTTAGAGCTCACAGATTAGGCTTGTTTTTTTCAGTGAGGAGCACAAGACAGGGTTTACACATCCGGTCTGTCCATGCTGATGAGCTTGAGAATGAGCTTAATGTCACCCGCTGACAGACAGCAGAGCAGTGCTCAGCCGGCGCTGACAAACAACAGCTCTAAAGACTTTACTGGCACAAAGTACATTTAGGAGATCTAGAGCTTATTTAGATCCCTAATATCCCCTTACTGTTCTCCAGAGGGAAGTCTCTAGAGTCGAGAGACATTACTTTCTCAAACACTCGTCCTTGAGGTGATATGACCCAGATGTGTCTCTCAGTCACAGAAAAAGCATGATGACTATTTGCATTTAAAACTGCAGTACAAAAGGAAAACTCTGCCGTGATAAACCCCTCCTGAATGAATAAACTATCTGTACGGATAAAAAGACAAGAGGAAGTATGCTGTTTATTTAGAGAGCGCTCACCTGCTAGAGTTGGAGAGCAGCTCGGTGCCTTTGCTCCAGGAGAAGGTGGGCTTTGGAGCCGCTTTTGGTCGACATTCAATCACCACACGGCCATTTTTAGGTGCCATCAAGTCCTTCAATGGGTTGTGTTTGAATGTGGGAGCACACGCTGAGGAGGGACAGATTGGATTATTCATCACAAACTTAGTAGAATATGCATTAACTGCAGGCATGCATATATGTATAGCCCGTTTTATATTCATTTGAATGTGTAGTGTGCTGCTTCAACTTATTGTGCATGCTACTTTAGATGACCAAATTAAGTTTTTGGAAAAAATCTCAATACGTTTTTTTCAGGCATGTAAAAGTTGTTTTTTTAGTTACATTACATTACATTGTATTTAGCTGACGCTTTTATCCAAAGCGACTTACAATAAGTGCATTCGACCAAGAAGATACAAACTTGAAGAAAACAGAATCATATAAGTACATCAGGTTTCATAGAGCCAAAATAAAAGTGCTACTCAACTGGCTTTAGATAAGCCAGTCCTTTATTAGTATATAAGTGCTTTGTTAGTAATTATATCGCTCAAAGTCTTACTGAGCTACAATTAGTTAGTTTAAACCCTGACCTTTCCATCTCTGACGCAGACATTTGTGCCGCGGCTGTAGCCAAAGTGTGACTCACCATACACTCGCAGCTCTGCGTTGGCATATATGATCCCGTGGTGATTTTCTGCAATGCACTGGTACATCCCTGAATTACCAAACGCCAACCTGCTGAACCTCATGTCTTTCCTGTTGGACTGTGGATCATAACAAGAGAGTGAAGTTAAAATATCATCTGACGACATTTCACCATTTCCAGTTTATCAGTAGCCTAGAGTAAGCAAATGATTCAAATCAAACTATTGTTGACATCCACAGATGATGTTCAGGTAACAATCCATTTATTTGTATGGGAGAGGATTTCATTAATGCATAATGATATCCAGCTGCATATATCAAACAACCACCCCCGCTGCTGTCACTATTACTCTTGGGTATTTTCCAGGCCTGATGACAGTTGTTTCTATGGAGAGCCATGCTGGCAAACAGTCAATACCAACAGGTACTTTCTACTGACATGATGTGAACCCACAGTGCCAGCTTCCTGTCACTGCTGAGCTACTGAGTGTTGCCAAATGAGCTCTGTGTATATTACAGCAATAATTAAATCAACATTTATGTCACACAGTGTTTAAATGAGTTTTAATATTACCGGTTCTCCATTTATCAGCCAACGAATGCTTGGTTCAGGTTGGCCGCTTGCTTTGCAGGACATGGTGTAATCCCTACCGAGGTCTTTCTCTGAGCTGCTGATGTGCTGCACCCACGCAGGAAACGCTGCAAATGAGCAGAGAAACCGTGTTTGAGGAAAATCTGAGAAATCTACAAAGCTGCTAAACAATATGTGATTTGAAACTTAAAGGTCACCTATTGTGCAAAATCCACTTTTTCATGTCTTTTATACAGAAACATGTGTCCCCTCTGTGTAAAGAGATTCTGAAAGTTTCAGGAAAAAAGATTATCTCTCTTTTTGTCCATTTCTATAAAAACTGAAAATGAGCCACTTTATGAGGTTGTAACGTTTTTTTGGCTTGTATAACCATTAGCCAATCACCAACCAAGGTAACCCCCCCTTGCCCCACATCTTATCACCTGAATCTCCTCCTAGAGCACCATTGTGTTCTTTTTAACCAAATCTCTCTCAGAGGGGCGTGGGGAGTGGCTCCTTATTTTCATCTAAAGTAACAGACAGAGAATCAGCACTTTTGAAACAGGGCTGAAACAGAGGGGATTATGGGATGCTACAATGGATGATCTGTTTGGTAGTGGAGCCAAACACTTCAGAGACATGTTTTGTATATATCTGAGACCTATAATATATTGACGAAAAACACTATAATAGGGGACCTTTAAGAAAAGAAAAACCTGGGAAAATGTTCTGATAGGAAGAGGCTTTTGATGTTACCCCCACACATCAGTGCCCTGTATTCCCTGTCAAATGTTAGAAGAGAAGAAGGAAACATGACGTACAACACATATCTCACCTTCTACAGACAGACGTGCAGCGTGGTAGTCCTTTCCTCTGGAGTTCACTGCCTCACACTGATAGCTGCCTCCGTCTTCAAACTGCACGTTGTACAGGTGCAGATGAGCCCCCGCCATCCGCACCTCGTGATTGGGCGGCATCTGTCCGTCCAACTTCTTCCAGCGGATCTCAGGGACGGGGCTGGGAAGGATAGGGAGAGAGAAATAAAAAACAGGGCAGTATACGCTGCAGTAAAAAGAAAAAATGAACTCTGCATCAAGGGTGAACTAAAATAGTTATTTGAGGGATTGACATAGATGTTACTTTAGATTGTCTTTTATTTAATCGTCCAAAGTCAATATGTACGTATATCTGCATGTCATAATATGCTGTATCGTTTACATTTAGTTATTTTATTCAATTGCAACAACAAAGTATATACTGTATATTCCCTAATATTTATGACTGAAAAAGAAGAAAATAACTCTCAAACTTTATCTTTCTGTAGTTTAATCATAAGATAAGACTCACTGGCTGATAACAGATTTTCAGTCCAAACTGAGCGCATTTCAAAGAAAGGTAACCGATGACCTGTCACACTTACTTCCCCAAAGCGAAGCACTCCAATGTGATGTTGTGCCCCACCAAAGCAATGGTGTCTGGGAACTTGACTTTGAGGTCAGCTGGGTATTTCCTGATGGGACCTGAGAGGAAAGGCAACAGACCATAAACCATGACTCAGGTGCTAGACACATTTAGTGCCCATTGTAACCATCAACGGGTTTGTTTCAAGATGTTCCTTCAAATCCCCTTTGGTCATTACCTACTGTAAGTGGGTCGAATAAACAAAATATACTTCTGTTTAATCACTGAATTCCAAAAGCCTTACAGTATGCAAGAGGGTTATTTAAGGCCTTTTTTTGAGATTGTAGAATCCCAGCAAGTTGCATTGGCACACTTTATCTGGCTTTATCTCTTGCTGCCTCAGTCAGATAATTCACTTTTTAAGAAAACTTTTAAACGTGATTTTGTCTATGCTGTGTGTGTTTAGATTGTGCAGTATATTGAGTGGATCTAGATGGGTTTTTGATATTTTGACATCTCAAACATTCTAGGAGGATGAAGAACCAGTTAAATTAATTTAAAGTAAAAGAGCATTTTTGTATTTAGTTGTAATTAAGAGAATGAAATGTATCCTCTGATTTTATACTTTTCAGCCAACCACTAACATAACTCGCTAATTTATCTTACATAAGGTATTATCCCAGTTCCTAAAATAAGACCATGACACTGCAAAAAACACTGTGATAATAGTATAAATGTCAATCCACTCAATGTAAAAATGTAGATGATACTAAACTCTGAGGATTATCCATCATGACAAATGTAATCAGTGTTTCCAATTGTTGGTACGCACAGCATTTCAAAAACCAAAGATGAAAGACAGTTACGCACTCCCTTGCCACACACATAAAGTCAAATACTGATTTACATCATACCCAGAAGGCATTTCATCACATGCTTGGGAAAGGCCCAAAGAACAACTGACTGCTCTAATCCTGACCTTTTAGGTTGGACGAACATTGACGTTTGTGTTCCTCTGATATACTTTTAAAAACACATCTGCCATCACGAGTACATGATCATGAAAGTCAGTGGAAATACTGTTGGATTCCTGGAAGCCCAACAAGGAAAAACATTTAAAGGGCATTAACAAACTGAAGCTCTGAAGTAGTGTGGTTATTATCTTTATGTCTGGAGATGTTAATGTTTCAGTAAATGTTTCATAACACTCTGCCTCAGTCTCAAAGCAGGTTTTTCTTCTGAGCTAATTTGTTCCCATAAATCTCATTTAAAGATAACAACAGTGGCGTGACCCTATCACATTTAAAACGAGCCCTTTTGTGATTAAACACGGTGCTTCAGTGAGGCCGAGGGAGAAAAATCAATACAGTACTTTGCTGCAGCCAGACAGAGTCCTATATTTGAGCTTATTTTAAAACTCATCTCTTTAGGAAATACTTATATATTACACACACCTTATTTCACGGGTAAAAGAGTTTAGCCAGGATATCATTCCCTTAATGTGCCTTTCTTATCGATTCCTGGCCATTATAGAGACATATGTTTTAATTATCTCTGTTGTATTTCATGATTGTATTGAGCTTAGGCTTATTTTATACATCAAACAGGTATTGGATTGCATTACTGGAATGAGAGGCATTGAGTGTATTGTATTGCAAATGTTATTATGGCCTAAGTATCACACTCAGATCAATCTTGTACAGGACAATAAAACCCAGATGTAATCACTGGTTTTATAGCTGAAGTAATAAAACATCTCAAACAGCTTTAATGTAATCAAAAATCTGAGATAATCAATTGGAAAAACAATGGATAGTAGGAAGTGAGGTACTAACGCTCAGCCAGAGGTACGAGGGGGATGTAGTTGGAGAAAACGCTTTTGGAAATGGACTGGCTGGAGGCGATGCAGGAGTAGTTGCCGCTGTCAGAGGAGTCCACCTTGGAGATATAGAGGTTACCCGTTATCTGGGAGACAAAACGCCTCTTGTCCAGCGGGATGAAGGTGGGGAATTCATTGAGGATCCATCGGAACGACAGCTCGGCTGCACAGACAGAGACAAAACGGCACCCGTCAATCAAGGCTCCAGACACACATGCAAAACCTTTAGAAAGAGCCGAGGGGATTGGAGACGAAGCTGGCTCGCTTTGGATCATATGAATACATGCTAAATAAAAATAGCACAATTCTTTAGTGCTGAGGGGAATTTATTATTCCAGCATCTATTGACCTTTCAGATGACATCTTTTAATTCTTTTAGCTGAGAGGCATAATAGAAGAATACTGAGAACATTGGGCTTGTGGAGGTAATGCTGATGCTGTGGAGAGAGAATGAACAATGCTTTCAGACTGTTGTGTTTGCAATTTGCATAAGAATATGGAAAATGTGTGTGCAGTTTCGTGGGTTAAGTAATGGCAATGCTATAAAAACTCTTAAGAAAATGAGGCCACATAGAGATAAGTATAGGAAGGGAAAACAAATTAAAACCCTTGTAATGATACTAGCTTAAACTGGATATGAGACCGATGAAAACATTTGTATTTTTTCCTTTTAGATGCATTAGGGAGCAGTAAAGCCAGCATGGGGATGACTGCTAACTGAGATAAAAGCTTGAAACTCATAATGAGGCAGTGACTGAGTCAGTGATGTCATTATTTGTGTACCTCAGAGGACATTGGGAAGGGCAATTCAATCCCAAGCTGATAAGGGACAAAATATATTTGGTTCATTTTATATAATCAGTTCCTCTGTGTCAGGAAATCCCCCATGTGGATACAAAAAAGAGTATCCAAAGTAAAGTATGTCTAATGACTTCTACAGCATTTTTTTCCATTTAAATATATTGTAAATGTACAATCCTCCTGGAAATGTTTCCCCTGGTTGGAAAGCAACAGCACGAAGGAAAGAGCCCACACAATCAAGCACGGACCGTTATAAATCCACACAGAAGGAACAAGAAATCAAAACAGGGCACAGCGCTAAATACTGCGCTACTGTTCTATACGCCCACTCAAATCAATCAGATGCTACATAATGATGGAGCTTGAACACTCCAGCAGAAGCACAATCAGCCTTCACTGTATACCTGGATAATGTGGCGGGGGGGCGCAGAGCAGCACGGCCCCCTGCCCCTCTTTGACGTACACCGACTCCCTCTCCTCCGACGAGAACAGATCCAGGTCTGAGGAACACAGAGACAAAAATCAACTCTGAGGACGTTTCTGATTCAAGAGCTACTCAGAAGCTATAGCCATACATTCATGTGTAGTGGTGTAAAGTAACTAAGTACATCTACTCAAGTACTGTACTTCGGTACAATTTTGAGGGACTTATACTTTACTTGAGTATTTCCCTTTTATGCTACTTTGTACTTCTACCCCACTACAATTCAGAGATATATATTGTAGCTTTACTCCACTAAATGTATTTAATACCTTTAGTTACTTTAAACATTTGGTTTAATAATGTGAAATATAAAAACACTTTAATAAGACTTAAGTTACACCTAGAGTACATTTCACAAGCTACCCTGCAGTATACAAAACTAGCTGCACCTTTACCAGCTGGGATGACACATAAATGCATCAATATTTATAATTAAAACATATCATATATTATTCTGTAAAGGGCCAATTTGCATAATGAGTATCTTTACTTTTTTGTACTTTAAGTATATTTTAATGATAATCATTTTGTACTTTTAACTTAAGTAACATTTTGAATGCAGTATATCTGGACTTTGATACTTCTACTTTTACTTATGTACAAGATCTGAGTACTTCTCTCACCTCTGTTCGTCCTTTACAGTAATATCTATAAAACTGACACTAAAGGTTTGAAGGTAACATAAAGTTCAACAACAGCTTATGAATTGAGCTGTAGTTGACGGTCAAATAAAGTACATTAGTCAAGCTGGAATCAGGAAGTAAGACCAATCACAAATGGCTCTTTCTACACCACTTATCATTTGTCCCAGCTGCCCTTGCAATTTCAGCGCCCTTAATATGCATGAAAGTACAGCTCCAGGGCAGCTCTGTTAAATCTGCATGGTGCTGTACATCACTGCAATATGGGAGTTAGGATCTGGGCTACTTACATCCGAACTGGACCGAGGCTTTTCGGCTGATGATCGTCCCGTGCAGGTTGCTAGCCAAACACAAGTACTCTCCTACATGTTCGGTTTTTATGGGATTGCTAATGACTAGGTTGCCTCCTACTAATCTGTAGTGACTGCTTTGTGCTTTCATGTCAATTTCCATGCCTTCCAGCATCCACCTGCAAGGAGAACAATTAGTGTCACTACAGCAAAGCATTGTAAAAGCTGTGTAAAGGAGTATATTCAAGTTTCAAGGCTTGTCATTTGCACATAAGCTACAGTGTGGCAACTGCTCCTCCAACAGTGCCCCATATATATAGGACATAGAACAAATAAAACATATAAAATAGTGCAAGAGAATGTTTTGAGATGTGCAAGTAAATATAGAAATAGAAATAGTGCAGGAAGAGTCTATATACAAGTAAATGGAATTATATAATAGATAAATAATTAGCAAAATCCAAGCAGATGAATGTTTGGATGAATGGGTTTTCTTAAAAAAGTTCAGGTGTTTCATATCATTCTATATGGTGGTACATTATTACTATATGGACCCTTATGGTGTGGCAATATCTGACAGTCTGCATTATAGTAGCCCTTTCTTGCAATAGACCTGTGCATATTGTATTTTACAAATATCAAATAGTTCTGAAAAGCATAACTGATTGTACTGTAGATGAACCCTCTTAATACCAGCTGTGGTCAAAGCTTATTCCGTCCCCTCTGACATCTAATTCTGGGCTCTGACAGCGAAACCGATTTGGAGGGTGCCAAGTACGTAATATCATTTACATACATTTACATCTAAATTGAAATAGACCATGCGAAACAATTTAAATTTGGAGCTGCAGTATGAGACACCATGGCATTGCTGTTGCAGGAACAACATCATATTTGTTATTAATGTTTTCCCGGCGCGTGATATTTCTTGTTATATTACATTTTTGTTAGTATGAGGAAGAAAAAACATCTGCTGCAGAGAAATTGAGTTGAGCAGATTGTTTGACAGCAACACTATTATGTGTCACAAACACTGCGGGATGCACACACACACATGATGCACCTCCGTGGTGCATAGAGGTTAACATCAACATCGTAGTGACCTTGCCATTTAAAGGGCAGATCAGTCTGAATTCAGCCTGAGAGATGGCAAGCGATGGGAGGCACACAGAAAGCACAGCGGGCAGTAATGAGACCGGCTTTTTGGGGAACATATGTTACTTGTATGTGGCAGGTGGGTTGGCCCGGGCCCGGCAGCTCATGGTGATCTTTGCCTCGGGCGACTCCTCCGGGTAAATGGTTTCCACCGGCTGCTCCTCAAACACTGGCCCGTAACCTGTGGCTTCATCTGGTGACAACAAAAAAACAAAACCAGGGTAAAACAACAAGCGGAGTTTACAAACGGGAAATATCAAAGTGTTAGAACTCAGTGTCTGTCTGGCAGTTCTGGGGCAGCTCCATCAAACACAAGACAGCAGGGTTGAAATGTAAGAGGAAAAACACACATCGACTAGAGAGGACCTGCCTTTTGATATTTTAACCTGGTTGTGGTTTTCACACACTTCTATTGCTCAGTGGCTGGTTTCAGAGGAATCCTGGTTGTAGCTAATCCTATCTGTGATTTGTGCCGCTGAGTTTTATTCAAAATCACAACACCACACTAATTATGACAGTGATGTGCTCACTCAGGTGCCAAACCAGAGTGACACATTCATCTCTTGCCAATGGAAATGATATTGTTACAAGCCAATACCATTTTTGGAACTTGAAATGCTATCTTGACTTAGCATAATCCAAACGCCTTTCATACCGTGTGCGTCATCCTCAGTGCTGTGAAGCAGATGCACAGGCGAATCCTGGGAGAAAAGTCTCCTTGAGGAAAATGCCTTTCTTGGTTCAATCTGTCTTTTACACCATCAACACACACGTACAATTAGCCCCAATTACTCATTAGAACAGACAGACATCGGGAGCAGAGGCATGAATAAGACATAAACACAATGCCAAGCTATGAATAAGCAATGAGGTGAAATGTTCCCAAACACTGATTATTCTCTCAGATCAAGAGTGTGTGTAGGTGACTGCAGCATTACAAATGTGAGGCGTGTATAGACGTGTGTGTGTGTGCACGTGTGTGTTGTTATTCCCCTGCGTCTCGGAGTTCTGAGAGAGCGCAGCTGACACTTCAATGGGGAGAAGCTCGCTCTTTCAGACAGTAATATCCTGCTTCTATTCCAGCCTTCTTTCCAGGCCTGAATTGGTGCTTTCACTATACCTTTGGAAATGTCATATTGACTGACAGGGAGCAACCTTTAGAAACTGGAACAAAAGATGCATTTTCACTTCTATTTACTCCCACAAAAAACAGGAAACTATGTGTGTAGAAAAATAAAGCAATAATGGTGAAAGTAGAAAATGCATGAGTGCATATTTATCAGTCTCAGCTGTAGGGAAGCAAAAGGAATTAAAATTGTATAATCCTAACCAGAATGAAGACAGACTCGTAGCCACACAAGTTAGCTGCACCCTCATCGCACCAGGACGGCCAACCAGGAGGGAGCAATTAAGATGTTAGGAGACAGGATACACTCCCACTCACACACTCCAGCAGCCAACCGTGTGTGTGAGTGCCTGACGCAAATCCCAATGATTCTGAATAACTGCTGGCTGAGAGAGAATTAAACATACTATTAACGGGGCATTGTGGAGCCGATGGAACGCAAATTGACTGGGAAACTGTGTTCTTGGAACAAGAGAGGAAGAAAAAGAAATTGAAGGGAAAAAAAATGGAATTGGAAGAATCAAGGATGGGTACAGCTAAGGGAATATTGTGACCCTGTTCCACTGTTGCAGTTAAATTGCTCTGCGCGAGTGTAAGATAAATGCTTTACATGTAAATATGAAATATAAATGTGGAATGGGCTGGACGGGGGGAGCCAATGAGGCGCTGGTGCAGTGCTGGAATAGCAGTAGGAGTAGAACGCAGAGGAATGAGCGCTGGTGCCGATCCTCTCCCTGTAATGCTGGTGGTGACAGATGGTGAAGGGGAGGGTTGAAGCAGGCCACATAAGGCCCACTGCCTGGAGACACACACAGGCCTCTCACATTCTCTCTGCCTCAATTCACTTTCATATCTAACTCTCTCTGGCTTCCCAGTGTCCTCACTTCATCTCTCTAAACTACAGTATATCCCACTGTCAGCCCACTGCTCCTCACAATTTCCCTTTCCTGGATTTCCTTCTATAAATACTTTCATTTTAAAAGTCTCTTCACTCTCTAGTTAGCAATGCTAATTGCTAGCAACATGGCTCCAGGGATGGGAAAGTCAGTCGGTCAGACCACCACTTCAGGCAAACTGACATATTGAAACATTGGTGAAATAACAACTTCCACGCATTACATTAACTTTCTGTATAGACATTCAGATGCCAAAGGGATGAACACTTATTACTTTGTTTTCACATGTCTGTTTTTTTAAGTGAAAGTTAAATAGTTTTTCCAGAAATGACTACAGACATTTATATCCCCCTCAGGATGAGGGTAAATGGACTTGCATTTATATAGCAACTTTTTAGTCTTACGACCACTTTAAGCACTTAAACACTGCATGTTAACATTTACTCATGAACACACACATGCATACAGTAATGGCCAAGCTTCATCAGGATCATTCACAAACACTGATGTCTGTGACTAAAGGAGCAATATGGCTTTCCGAGGAAACTTCGACAAGCGCACTGCAGAAACCAACTCATTTTCAACTGTTGGATGATCCGCTCTACCTCCTGAGCCATGGCTTCCCGTCTAATTGCAGTAACTTTGGGGAACATTTTGTGTAGTACCATCATAAGATTCATTAGGACCAACACTGGATTATGACCAAATATAATTGATAAAAGATATCCTGATGTATCTACCAGCAAAACTATACAATTCACATTAACCGTGAGAATACTTTGTGTGAGAAGCAAACTCAATCATGCTAACATGAAAAAGACCCATACACCATTATACCTGCTAAAGGTGTATCGGCATATTAGCATTGTGAGCTCAAAGCACCACTGTGCAGAAGTAGAGTTTCAAAGAGACTGGAATGGCTGTAGATTCTTGTTTTTCTCAAATGATCAGTATTTATCCATCTCTCAAAGCCTCCCACTCTCAGCGCCTATAGTGAATTCTCCCTCTATGTTTTGTCCAAAACAGAGAATCTCTTTCCAAACCTCCAAAGCTACATGCCTATTTCAATCCCTCTTTTTTCTCTCTTTATATCCAAGTGTCTCTTGGGTTCTCGGTTTCCCCTGCATAAAACACTTTCACTGTCTCTTCTTTGAAAAGAAGTAGACTTTGGATGCCCTGAATCGCCCTGTTTAACAAGCGAGTAATTATTTACGCTCAGCCACGCACATAAAAAACAAACACATACTTACAGATAAAAACAGAACTTACTCTCACGGAAGACCACATCCATACAAATAAGGGAAGACATTCAAAAACCCACAAAGAAGAAAGTCAGAGTCTGGGAGTCATTTTCCTCTGAATGGATCTCATTATGAAACACAGAAGAGCTTGTACGTTTAGACTCGTTTGCATTTTAAATACTGTAAAGTCAGTTTATCTTTATCTTCCCGAGCATCAGTTTTTACATCAATATTTTTATATTGTGCCGTTTGTGTTTTCTAAATTGGAGATGTGTATATTTACTGTTTATGTTTGTTTATTTTCTACTTTATTTGAATTTCAAATTACGTGCAATGCCTTGTTTACAGTACATGCTGCTGTTACGAAAGAATGTCCCAAATTGGGACCAATCAAGTAAATCGAATCCAATATAATTCTAATGACGAATCAATCTTCCTTTAAAGTGGACCTATGATGCTATATTTGAATAATATAGTGTAGGACCATACCTATATAAGGCATTTTATACTTTGTATTTTTCAAAATACCAAACAGATCATGCATTTTAGCCATTCCTCATTTCGCTCAATGTAACACTGTCTTTGCATGGGCTGATTCTGTGAGAACAGCACCATCTACAGGCCTGGCATATGTACTACAGCGTCTCCAGTGCTTTCGAACGGCAATGTCCGTGGCTGTCTCCTCCTGATTGGTGGAGTTGGCCCAATAGCCGTAGCGCCACTTCTGTGACGTCATAGAAGTGTTCAAATCTGGATAAGTCTGTATCAGATCCGTTGCTGCCCCTTTTTAAGAGATTTGGGTATGGAGGAAAATAGAGAGGGTTGTGTTTTCTGACACTTGGTGAGTTCCTGGAACACAAAAGTGCATTTTGCATGATAGGTCACCTTTAAGCTTAAGGGATAATCTAAAGTAGGTGCATGAAAATTAATTGTAACTTTAATCTACAGGTGATCCTAAAACAACTGCACTGTGTCCTATTTGTTACTTTATTTCATCTTTGTCAACACTTTCTGCTGTTTCATATGTTGCACTTCCCTTATTGAAACATGTTTTTTTTTATTGAGAATTGTTTTTATTTTTACATTTGAATAATCACATAATTGAGCCAAATCTCAGAGGAACTTCTCCCTCTGACGAATTGAACTTTACTTACAGCTGTGTGTTTCTCTTCCATCTGCTGCATGGTTTGTTTGCATGACCAATGGTGTCCAAGTGGGACAGATAACATGTTGTTTCCTGGAGGCATGGTGTAGCAATAATTACCCACAAGCCCTTGAGTCACATAATGAGGCGTGGTGGCTGACTAATTTCTCCCTAGGGTAGAAATCCACTTTTTACATTTTATATGTTGAATAAATAATTACTCTGCTTCACTGTCAGCCCAAATCGTATTTCCATGCCATCCTGCAGTGAGTGTCAGTGAGTGAGCGCTCGGTGTGGAGCCAGCTGTGCAATCACAACCGCTGTAAACTAAATATTCTCCAACATGATGGCTGCGACGGAGCAGAGCTATTCAAACAGAACATTTAAGAGGGTGACTTTGAATACAGATGTTTTCCAAAGTCACAACAATAATGAATGTGAAAAACCTTCTAATACCGTAACTGATGTTTTAAAATGGCATCACTAAACAGTATTTAACTTCACAGACCACCCCTCATGCAGAATAATCCACATATTGGCTGTCCATCAGATGTTCAGCTTATTTACTCTATATATTTACAATTGAGCTGCAGCTAGCAATTATTTATATTATCGATAAATCTATTGACCAATTTGCTTCGTTTTTTTCAATGAAGTTTTGAAAAATGCCTGTTAAACTTCAAATGTCTTGTTTTGTCAAACCAAGAGTCCAGAACCCAAATATATACAGTTTAATATCATGTACATCAATAAGCTAAATCCTCACATTTAAAAAAACAAACAACCAGCACTGTTAAACTTTCCAAAAATACTTATTTTTGGAAAGTTGATTGCCTATTGTAAACTGGAATACACTACAGGGCAGGAAGTCAAACCAAATCACCCACATGCTAAACAATATCATGCTTCAAAATGTAGATGAGTGGTGTACCCATGAGTGAGGGATATGAGTGAAAAGAACTGACCATATGGTGGGGGGGGGAATTGAAGGGATTCTCTTTTGACACTTTTGTGGAAACTAGAAAACTTTGTACAGCCATCTTTTAAGCCTGCGGGGCCTGTTTGTCACAGAATGATCAGATGGGCATTAGCATAGATACGGCATAAGCAGTTCACTTGTAAGAAACGATGAAGTCTGCAGTGTGTCCCAGCTGGAGGTCCGCCTCCACAATGCTCTGACCTTCAAGAAGTGCGGAGTCAACTCTGCCTCCTCGTATGGCTACACCTTCATCTTTGTCCAAGATTGACAAAGCGTTCAAAATGATAAAGCCTGAGCAGCATTTTTCTCACATTTATTAGTGGCGAGTGACCTTAAAAAGTGTATCCAACTGACGTGTGCAGAATCAAAAGCATTTTGCACAGTTTGCATCACGCTGTGTTATTTCTACAGACAAGTGGAGGTAATGTCAACATGTGCAGGAGGTGACACTGCTACAGGCACACAGATTTTAAAAGTCATGTACGGTGGATGCACCACGGAAAAGAAGAGAGAGTGAATGCAAGAAAAAAACGAATGAGAGACTTCCAAGAATGAGACATTTTGTTAGTGAATCCATCAACAATTCAACCTGCACGCAGCATCACATCATTTTCCCCAAAAACTAATCAGCAAGCGTTCCTATTTTCCAATGTACCCCTAGCCAACAATCTTCCTCTACTTTAATGTTCTCCCAAAGAATAACACACATGGTAAAGAACCGTTGGTATGAAGATTCTGACATTGAAACATTTCTGAATATATTATTTTAACAATTAAGATCGACACAGTCGTTTTGGGAAATGGAGAGATTTATATCTTCATATTTTTGAAAGCACCTTTGAAAATAACACTTGGGCCTCGAGGATTAGATGCTAATTCAGCTGCTTCTGCCCAACTTAAAGACATTTTGGGAAAACGTAATTTAGTTTCTCGCAGGGTGTTAGATGAAAAGATTGATATGGACTATTTCTGGACCTTTTCTTGGCTGGGCACAGCGACTTCCTGCAGTCTCTGCTGGTTGCCCAGCAACCTCGCAGGAAATGTGCGAGTGCTGCATATCCCACTGTAAAACCTCAACTTGTCGTTTACACACTTTGGTTGATAAACAGATTACATTACATGACATTACATTACATTTAGCTGACGCTTTTATCCAAAGCGACTTACAATAAGTGCGTTCGACCAACAAAATACAAACTTGAAGAAAACAAAATCATATAAGTACATCAGGTTTCATAGAGCTAAAGCATTTCAACTGGCTTTAGATAAGCCAGTCCTTTATTATTATATAAGTGCTTTGTTAGTCATTTTACCGCTCGAAGTGGAGTCGAAAGAGATGAGTTTTCAGTCTGCGCCGGAAGATGTGTAAGCTTTCTGCTGTCCTGATGTCAATGGGGAGCTCATTCCACCATTTTGGAGCCAGGATAGCAAACCCAAATGTTTTTGCTGATGGGAACTTGGGTCCCCCTCGCAGTGCGGGTGCAGCGAGCTGTTTGGCTGATGCAGAGCGGAGTGCACGTGCTGGGGTGTACGGTTTAACCATGTCCTGGATGTAAGAAGGGCCAGATCCATTCGCAGCATGGTACGCAAGTACCATTGTCTTGAAGTGGATAAAATAATATAATGATATAACATGGTACTTATTGCTCTCTAGTGTAGATGCATGTTTTGCTGATGTTGTTACATTTAGAACAGGCTAGTTATTATCCTGCTCACCGGTCTTAGTGCTAAGCTAATGGGTTAAAACAACTGTGAACATTCATAAACACACCTCCGCCCCTTAAAGACTGCAACCACTACTATTTAGAAATATGTATGGCTATTTTACTTGCATCCTTTGGTTACTATAACCCTTTATGAACACACAAAAATACACTACATTTATACAGTTTTGTACATTTAACGTTTTTAGACTGTAAGTGTAAATATGCACATTGACATTGCATTTTATCTCGTTGCACTGTCACCTCTACTACCTCTGCTTTTACCACTCTTATTTATTTATTTGTGTCTATTTTTTACTGCAGTGAGAGTTGCCAAAGACATTTTGTTGTACTTTGTTTGATGACAATACAGATATATTCTATTCTATTCTTGCTGGCTGTAGCTGCTGCATATTTAGCATACTGTACATTAATAGAAGCATAAATGGAAATTGAAATAAGTATTGGCAAGAGAACAAAAAAGTGTCTTGCTTTTTTCCCCTAATACCTTAACATTGTACATACATATAAAACAATGCATATCTACAGCATTATTGGGTGCTTGAATGACTCACACCGCTATCTATTATCCATTTTCTGTGTCATCCCTCAAACCAATAAGAGCCCACAATGAGGCATGGCAGCTCTAACACAGTTTCTAGCTCTAATGATCATCCTGGATTCATCTGCCCAGTGCAGTGCAATGTCTTGAACTTTAACCATCTCCATTAGGATTAATGTTCATCTGTAAGTAGGAGAAATCCAGAAATAGCAGCATTTCGAGGAACCGTGACCTCTAGACACAATTTCATTAGTCCTGGTCTATTGTGGACCCTCAGAAGGGGAGCCATCTGTCACTTCTTGTCACCTAACGCATACAGACAGGCAGATTGTAGTTTTACTGCCTCAGGGGCCGCAGCGGGCAGGAGACGGGCAAAGCTGCACCCAAAGCTCTTTTGGATCTGACATACTTCTTTTATTTATTTTTCATTGAATAGTAAATGAGAGTAAAACGAGACAAAAGCTTGAATAGTGAGTTTAATTAAAGAAGAGGTGAATATTCTGATGACGCAATATTCCTGCTTATTATTGCTTAATACTGTAGCTTTAGTGCTTCTCTAGTTTTCGAACAGAACTGGAAGGGTTGTTATTAATAAAACAAGACTTCACATGTGAATCGTATTAGTCCTTATATACAAATCAAAACCCTCTGTTGGCATCCACGATCTTACTTCTAAGTAAATGTCAATGCTGAGTGTTTCTTGCTTAACATAAAATATAATTCAAAACACCTTGCCAGCAACATCGCTTGTGCAAGGATTGTTTTGAGAGTATAATGCAGTAAGCAATCACAAGTCGCAGGGCTTTCAAACATATCGCCGTGCAGACTCCATGAATCAAAGCCTGATTCCTGTTCTGAAGACCAAGGCCACACGTCACCAGCCTGACAGTCAACAGGTGCAGCGTGTTTGTGTCCGATTCGAAGACTATAAATCAAAAAGGAGTAAGCAATTTTTTTTTACGTTTCAGGTATTTAATCGTAAGTTCTAATTATAATCAGCTCGCTATCCTCAAGGGGACTTTATCAGAACACATAGACGTTCATAAAAACACAACCCTGTGACCTTTCTGGTTTAAAACATCTCTGTAACCTTGTGCTCCGCCTTGAACTTAAAACCTTATCACCACTGAAATACAATTGTATCATTTCAACAAGCCGTTTAGGACAGAGAGTGAATACACATACTATACAGAGATGCTGTATGAGAAACCAATGTGAGTTTAGAAAATTGCACAATATAAATGTATTCTAGTAGACCTCAACAATGGAATTATGATCAGTAGAAATGGCCATGACATGGGACCTTTAAAAAAAATGTATGCAATGCATGAATGTAGGAAGAAATCTCAAAATTGCATTTCCATTAGAATTTCTCTCGTTGAATAGAGAATGTGGTTGAGTTCCTCTGGGAGACTGTTTGTGCTGGTATGCTCAATGTACTGTACACACATTTAGCAGAGTGAAATGATAATAAATACCAAATGTTTGCGAAAGTGCGTGTATGCGTGTGTGTGTTATTAATGAATGTGTCATAACGCAACACTGGCCAAAATCAAGAAGCATCTATTTTCATCATTATTGGAATGTTTTTTAACACTTCAGGAAGGTTTTTTTATAGCATTGAAACAAGTGACCATTATCATTGATTATTAGAATGAGTCTTACCTCTATAAAAGTCAGGTAACTCCCCATGTGTTGATGCATCTGTAACAGTAAAAGGAAATCATGTCAACATATCAGACCATGACACTGCAAATACACCACTGCTGATGTTTCTACTTCAAGTACTTCCTGTGTACCTAAACTGTAGGTATTTTTTTCGTATTTCCCATGTGATACAACAAGAAAAAGTGATCAGAACCAATCATCATGAGACTTTCTTCAGAGAGGAAAGGCCCATAATAGAATTCCTTTTCGCTGCTGAGGGTGTGATGAATGTCCGAAAACCTTGCGTTGAAAGATTATCTTTGGCTGAGGGCCACCTCTGTAGAATCCACCACATCCTGCCCTTCACAATAAAATGGAAAACTCAATGATTGTATGGCTTGAATGATTGTAGGTTTCAATACGCACTGATGCTACAAACAAAAGCTAAACCATGTACAATAAGAAAAGGGATAATAGATCATACTAACTTGAACAATATTCCTGTTCAATAATGTATTCTTATTCTGTATGTCCTAGTTCAAACCCCACAATGGTCCAGTTGAGCTAGAGAAAATACATACTCTTTACACTTTAGTTTAAGGACAGTTGGGGCTAAACAGAAATGTCAGGCCAATGTTCTCTCCCAAGGTTAACAACCAGCATCTGTTGGTTGGCTGCTGTCTGTTTGGACAGAGTTGAACTCTACTGTGTATGTGTGCCAAGGAACAATGTGGTGTTTTTATGTGTTTTCTTACGAATTCATTAAATACATTTTGCACATTTTCAACAGGGTATTCTAAGCTTTAGTTGTAGTTCTGCCAAAAGCTTTGATGGGCTCCCCATGTAGGGAAAACAAGCCAAATAAATCTCCTCAAAGTCTGTTTGAGAAAGATGTCGTGGGAACCTGAAGAATTCCCAATCCAAGCTTCCCCTTCTTTCAGTTCATGTGAAATCAAATGTGAAACAAGTGAATATAGCCCAAGGTATGAGAACACAGAGGGGGTTGTAGCTCATTTTCAGGCCAGCTGTTTTCTGACAACGTTGTTTTGTTTCCAACACGGCTGATTGCACAGCAGCATCACAAAGAAAGGAAATCTGCAAACAGACCCTGAGAGGCAAACCTCGTACAGCCTGACCCATCAGATGTTCATACTGTAGCTTCTTCCTAAAAGGTGTGCTTCTTTGTATAGTTGGCCTAAGCATGTGTATCATATCTTAAGCGTATCTCGATCTGAATAAAATGTTCTTCGCTGCCATCCCTGCCAGTCTCAATATATTTTTGTTGTTTAAAGCTGGCGGTTAGCACCTTTTCTTTTGTTGCATCTTCCATCCTGAGAGTCCACTTTTGATGTGTGCTTTCACAACTTGCCTATCCACCTGGTTGATTTGTTTAATGCTTGGTAGTTGGAGCCAATAGTCAAAGTTATGGTCTGTTTCTGTAGTTTCTGAGTTCATGAGACTCATTGCATTAATAGTTTCTTCGGAGCAAATACATTTTTAACAAATGGATTTGATAGTGATACCTGAAAGAGGAAGGACACGTGAGAATAAGAATCAAGCTAAACTAGCAAAGTGTTTTTGAGGGCTGCTTTCCAGAAATGTGTCCAGAAGTGTTGCTCATACTGCTGAACAAATAACAACATACAATTGGTTATTGGACCTCTTTTCTTACAATCCTAATTTTTTTTTATTCACTTTTTTTACAATTAACAATTATGTTTTTATTGTGGCTCTAAGCTGAGAAATGAAATGTCTCACAGGGTCATACAAACATTCATTAGCTATACACAAATAACATAATTTTTAAATTGAAAGGGCTCAGTGTAAATAGATGTGTTGCTTTCATGGAAAGGCAGTGACTCAGTCTTTCAGTTAATACATTATAAATAAATGTAGCCATTGCTTTCAGCCGAACGTGAAACTGACCTGCAAAGCAGAGAGGGAGGACCAGGAGATGGAGGAGCAGGGTGAGTTGCAGCATGATGTTGAAGCGAGGACCACCTGGTGGGGTAACAGCTAGAAGCTCAGCTGATGGAACATTAGCAGGACCGCCTGGTTTTCCTTAAGGAGAGGAAGAAATAAAAAGAAGAGACGTCAACACATGGAAAAAAGCCTTCAGCGAAGAACATATTTCTGTGAGTCTGAATGAATGTGAATTTGAATAAATATAAATAGTCGATTTCTTTATATGTAAATATATGATAACATTCTGCAAAAACAGTCTCTTTAACCTTTTGCAATGTAGTGATTATAGTGGGTTTAAGACACAATACAAAAGAGCATACTTGTGCTAAATAGAAAGCAGCATTTGGTTATTGGAGCTCTTTACTTACAATAAAGAACTTAAAAATAAAGTAAAAAGTCAGGAATCTGCAATGAGTCGGAAACACCAAAAAACTTTAAGTGTGTGTGTATAGCTGCAACTTACTATTATTTGTATTTGAAATGAATCTGTTGAATAAATGCAATTCTTGTTTCAACTTGATCAATAACAGAGTCTGTATGTCCAAATTGAAATTATCCCAGAGCTAGTTTCCAATGCCTTAAAGTAAACTAATCATCTCAAAGATGATGCTGTTTAATGTCGGCCTTTCTGACATTCGAATCAACCTGTGTCATAGCGAAGGACAAGCCAATCCCTGCCTTCCTGTGGATCTCTGGCAGACAGTGCCGACGAGTCTTTACTCCGCCTCTGCTTCCTGTCAGCCTCCCAGGCACAAGCTCGTTGATAGGTTGACGCCTGATGATTGACATGGCCAGAAAAATCCCCGAGCTCTGGTTCAGCTGAGCTGGCACCTCACTGCTTACTCACAGCCCCCCAGACGTTAACACCACACCAGTAAACACCAGCATGAACCAGCTCTCAGCATCTCGCCCAGTAACACAACATGAAGAGCAACAGCTGTGTGAGTCAGGATAACTGGCGGAGACGAGAGGAAGGAGGATTTCTCCATTGTGGAGGGGAAAATGGGATTTGAAACTAATCAGATGAGATGAATCATGTGTTTTGAATAATATATTTGATCAAAAATAGCACAGAGACCCATCATGGAGGCAAAGATGCTAAGACTGAAGAAAACCATTTCAGCTATTCTGAAAGCACTTGGTATTAAGTGGTATCCAACTAACCACATTACTTATTTTAACTTAATTAAACAGAAGAATAAGCGACCATCAGGTCATAGAGAGAAACTTCAGGGAAAATATATTAGTAAACGTATGAAGCAGTTTGCAGACAACACAGTGTGCAAATGTGGAGCATCGTTATCAAGTCTTTTGATATTTAAATGTCTTAAAGAGAAGTAATGCAGGGGGGAAAATGCATAATTCACACCATGACTTTTCCTAGTGTCAATCAAATCTGCTTTGAATGCCTTTTCTGTGCTTGAAAACCTGTGCAGTCTTTCAGGGAAGACTGCCAAAACTCACAACCAAATCTAACACCTTTATATATTCATTTACTGGCATCACAGTTTTGAGCATTGGTTCAATATTGCCCATTCATTCCCGGGTCGTGCTGGACTGGTGTGTGTTGATTAAAGTGTAATTGAACATGAGGCAGACACCATTAATTCTCTGTGCGCAGACTGAGGTGTCAGCTGGCCGAGACTCAGAGGTGTGACAGCAGAATTGAGATCTCAGCACTCACCAAAAAAAAAAGAAGAGTCTTATTACAGCAACATGGATTATGAGATAGAAGAGAGGCCATTTAATATGCAGGCTTTCCGAGATACAAACAAAACTGCCCTTGTACTGTACGGCTGAACATCCACACACGGATACGCTTGGATACACACAGAAGAAAGGATTGAGACAAATGGGCTGACACACTGTACAACTACACAACAAGTTGGACTTAATGTCCAAACTGTACAGCTGCAGAAAAGCAAAACAGAGGAGATGTCCATCTTTACGCTGGCCTGTATCCTAGCAACACCTTTCAAAAGGAGCAGTTTAGTGTGCTGCGGGGGGGCCTTTTGTGACCACCAATGAAACTATGCAAACACTGTTATAACCTGGAACAAATCTGCCGTTGAGGAACAAAAACCCTTTAGGGTTCCCTGCTCGTCTGTGACATCTCCAGTCAAACAAAGCCCAACAAATATAACTTCAAGAAAACTTCCTCCATCTTTCTGTCAGTGTGCAGCACTTCACTATACGGCTATAGTGCTACTATATCACTTCTGAAACTCATTAAACATAAATGATCTAATAGATGCACTTAAGAGATTGAAAAAAAAGGCATGGCGTCTCATTATAGCGTCACAGTACATACTGAAGGAACCATTCCCATCCTTCCCATTAAGAACTGTCACTGAGTTGATATAGTGTAAAAACCACCAGACCAGCACCGCACAGAAAGGCAGCATGCTCTTATAATCAGTATTAATGGGCCTCCTCCCTCCTGTCCTACCGGGCTGAATGCTGTCATCACAGTAAATCACACGACCCAGACAGAACAGCCCTCAAACAAGGCCATTTCTTCTCACCCATAAATCACTCGCTGGACGCTGGCAGAGCTATTACTGCTTCTGCTTTGATTTTGGTGTGTTTTCTTGTCAAAGTCTTTTTTCCCAGCATTCCAAGCTTTGCTTTGCTCGCAGAATTTCAATGTCTCCCTTAAACTCCCCTTAGAATTGTCAGGCTCATTGCTAAGAAATTAGAGATCATAATACGAAGACTAGACGTTGCTGGGGGCCAATACTTTTCTGCTTCACTTCAACGGCCAATACTGTCATTTGTGCTTTTGTTGACCCCATACCGCCCTAAGGGCACCTCAGGCTCAAGTGAAAGTGAGTGAAACCCCTCCTTTTCTGTGCTTGCCCTGATGTGTGCTGCATAATCAAGTGGGTAACTTTAGAGTAACGTCTTCTCTGATCACAAGGGGCAGATCTGTGATGTGGGGGAGGAGAGACGGAGAGAGATTGGAAAGAGGATAGGGTGGAGGAGAGGAGGGAGCGGGGAGTGGTAGACTTAAAAAACAAGACGTTTCTCCAACAACCCCACCCCCCTACCACCACCACCACCAATGTCACTCCTTACACACACAATCCCCTCCAACTACGTCACCACCATCAGTTATTAACCACAGCTTTACAATAATCCGGCAAGGGGAAGCAAAGAGGGGGTTAACGCTGGATTGATCTTAATCGGTAGGAGAAGAAAAGAGTGCTGAGCAGCATCAGCTACTGCAGCATCCAAGATATGTCTGCATTTCTAAAAAATCTCCAGTAGTGAAGCTGGGGATGGAGAAAGGGTTGGTAACCAAAATTCTGAGTAAGAACAAAGTATCGTGTAGCCCCAAAAAAAGACCTGAATTTAGCTTGAGTGACGGGTGGGTTCTGTCTTCAGTCTCTAGGTGGTTGCTATCTGCTCTGCTACGTCACCCTGACATGACTCAGTTGCACCCACGATGCACATTTTTAGAAAGAAGGTGACTGCCAAGATGGTGAAGGCTGAGTTACCCACCATTTCATTTCATTTTGATTTGTTCCGTTCATGGTATGCAAATCTTAATGTATAATAATCGTTAACAAAACATGTGTCTGTAAACACACCATTGACCGAAAAGGAGCAGGGAGAAAAAAATAATCTTATATTACCTGCCACTTTCTAAAAAATAATAAATAGAAATAGATGGTCTGTCCTTCATATTTCTTTTTCACATTCAAACATGACAGTATCTTAGGATAATAAGAGAAACACAAAAAATACTTATTTCCCACTTGACAGTTAACGGAAAGAAACAAAACAACAACACCAAAACATCACATGTACAAGGAAAAGTCCAATGAGCTTCTACAGCGGCTCTTTGGACACCTATGGTTGACAAGATCTATATTTTATCAAATCTTTGTGAGGTAAACAAAGGGTGCTGGATATAGCTTCATAATTCAACTTATATCGATCTTTTCATCCAACTCTCAGGAAGATTTATTTATATTTCCACAGTACCGTAGCTGGGCAGCATATTAGTGCTTATACTGAGCCACAGGATGTAGAATCCAATATTAATAAGGTTTGTGATTACTCCTCATTCTAAAATCACACATTTCGTGATAGAGCAGATAAGATTTAGTGTCATCACCGAAATGCTACTGGGAAAAACAAGCGAGACAGGGAGAGGAATATTGATCTGATTTAAATGAAGATGAAACATTGAGATATTGGGTGTGACATCATCTGTGAGAGGCAGGAGTGTGTTTGGTTTGGTTTCAGGGGCATGACTGTTCTCTTTGTAACTTTATTTATCCTTAGCTTGCTGAGAACATTTCCTGATTCCCATTCATTATAAGTATATACAAACATGTCATAAGTACATCAACTACTACTACTGCTATTTATCTAAAGCAGACAGGAAGTATGATAATTAGACTTTGCCATTAATAATTCAGAGACACATATTTAAAGCAAGTCTACCAGCCGAAAGAACATCTCTTTCTTACAAGCTGCCAAAACCTGTCTATTTTTAAAGAAAATATCTGCCACTAACTATACAGTACTTTCTCTGCGTACTTCTATACAACATTCTGCTCTGTGCAAAAAGCCAAAGCGTTCAAAAGTATTACTTTGAAATGTACTTTGACAAGATGTTCTCTTTAATGGAAAGCAAGGAATAGTAGGCACAAACCGCATCACATGTGAAGAGAGCAGACACCTGATATGACTACATACTGTGAGTGAGTTGAAATCCCAGGATGAAACGCATGCTGTGATCCCTTCAGTTTTTATGTTGAATCAGTGATATTTTACCACAAAGCAGTGGTGATACATTTATGCTTACTTATAATTTATTCATGACAAAATCATTGATTTTCATTCCAAAATGTGCAACACAGGCAGCCAGTGTGTCTCCTCAACCTGAGCTCTGAGATATGTTTCCTTCTGTGAGGAAAATCAGACTGGACTGGCTACGGACCAACCGGTTTTATCTCCCAGAAGACCGACAGAATGATTCAATCAACAGACATAGGCTATCCAAGCCTATTACACATCAAATAAAGCAGTAACCCCAAGACACACAAACACACACACACACACACACACACACACACATACACACACACACACACACACACACACACACACACACACACACACACACACACACACACACACACACAAACACACACACACAAAACTATACCTGCAGATAACGATGCTCTCTACACGCTTTGTGCTGCACAGGCCCCCTGTAGCTAAGCAGAAACTGGTTCAGAACTTAACAAAATAAATAACTGTATTTTTCAGATTGTAACAGCTTGATATATTCTGCAGTCAGAGTTGACTTTTTTTTCTTTTTAGCAATCTAGGACAGCAAATAGCAGAGCCATACAAAACATTTCTCATATTGGCTGAAACCCAATGTGTCTTATTCTTGAAAAATAAAAAGAGAAACCGTCCAATTATCTGTTATTATTCATAGAGAGATGTTACGACCCCCTCCACTCTACTGTTTCAGTTTTGTCGTCAGCATGAGCCACACCTGAGAGGCTTGGATAAAAAGCCGAACACCATCCCACACGAACGCTGACTCGCATACATACATTACTGATGACTTCATTTCACATTTGCTTGAGTCTGTTAAGTTATAAAGTATTGTTATCTTGTACATAAATCAGTTTTGTGGCATGTCTTTGTTGCAGCCGATGAGCCGGGCTGTAACATAGAAGGTAAAGAAAATGGTACAGTCACATTAAACATGGACTAATTGTGAATCCCTGTAATGAGAGACCCCTGCGACAAATATTTTGTAGGATTGAAAATGTTTTGTTATCTTTATTCATTTTCAGGCTGTTGTGCTCTATGCAATGTAATGCTTTGTTTGTCCCATTCCCCGCAACAAGACCTCATCTCCCTGAGGGCAGACAGTATCAGAGCCCGTATGGAGTATCAGTCGTGATGTAATCCAGCTGCAGTCATGGCTCGTTCACTGTGTCAGTTTGTCTCGGTCCCCTCCCTCTGTCTTTTCATTCTCTCTGTCTCTCACCCAATAGATGCAGCCGTGCTAATGTAAGCTATTTATCCCGACCCCTGCAGTCAACACAATGCCCCCTCAGGGCCACACAGGCTCAGAGACCTCAGCTGACCTGAATATCAATGACACCAGTCGCTCACTCCATGAAATCTGGACGGCTGTATGCATTACATTAACCCCAGATCAGATAATGTCTGAGGGGGAACAGCACACACGTGACTTGAATCAAAAAAAGATATCTTGCCTTTGATGTTACAGTGCAGATGTGTTTACTGTAACGCAATGAGGAAGCTATTCGCTGCAACCACACAGCAGAGATATGCTCTTTGATCCATCTGACCCTTCATATAAGCTAATGGATGTTGCCATTCACACAGAACCTAATACAAGTATTTCAAAGAGTGGTACACATTTTTCTTTAAAAAAAAAAGGAAAATTCCAAATGATCCTTTACAATACGAAAGATGCTACTCCAAAGAATGCAGAGCAGGACACTTAGATGCTACTGAAAACGGTGTCACAACATACAATTGTTTTTTTAGTTTTTATTTATGTAAATGTGATTAATCGTAAAACATCAATGTGTTGACCTTTCAGTGCAACAGTAATAAACAATGTGATACATTCTACGGAAGGATCAAACTCAAAAGAAAATCCCCAGATAAGAAATACTAAATGGTCTCTGAAGATTGTGACATCATGTATGATACATTGTGCCATATAGGCAAAGGTCAGAGGAGACTTCACTCCATAGAGAAAGAGTGCTCGGCTTAATTACTTCATGCGACATCTGTCCAATAAAGATATTGGCTTCTATAGTACAGCAGTGACATGCTTTCACTGGAGGCCGTACTCTCTGCTGTGAATAACTGTTATTACTAAGTGACAAGAGTTACACTTCATGTCAATCTGTACAGATAAGGAAGAAGGGTTCTTACAGTATAACGCCATTTGTTCATCCTGTATACTGAGAAAACAATCAATACCCTCCAGTTGCACAAAGAAAGGAATGCATTTACTCTGCATATAGCCACAACAAATGGCAAACAATAGAAAGATTAATCTAAATCGTCGATCCTTCCAACCAACACTTCCCATGCATCCCCTTATTGGATTAGGGGGTATGAATCCAACATTAGGCTACAGATTAACTTGACGAGCTGAATGTTAGGTGTAATCAGAAAAGAAGGCACAAACAGCATGCTTAATTGCGGTCAAGAGGAGGAGGTTACCAATTAGTCAGAAACAACCACCGCTCCAAGCTATGAGAGACACAGTAAGACAATCAGGGCATGGAGAGTAGTGTGACTCAGAGGCTCAGAGCTTACCTTGCTGTGGAGAGCTATCATGCCAGTGGCTATGTGACAAGATGAGCTACTCAGCCCCTCCACCATGCCTACCCTGCCAAGTGTCCTAAATACTCTGCTCCATTGTCTCCCTCAGAAATGAGCAGTGCTGCTGCTGGATGGGAGCACTCTCTCCAAGGTGCAAAGAGGAGGGAGGGACGGTGGGAAAAGAAAAGGCTAATTCCCCGAGTAGGACAGGGAGCCATGCAAATGGGCCGCCTGGAAGAAGCCTCCCTGCAGCGCTCGTTGGAGGGGTCTTCTCCCGTCACCGTGGCCAGGCTGGGGGATTTAATCTTTTAAGCCCTCCCACTGCACACACACACACACACACACACACACACACACACACACACACACACACACACACACACACACACACACACACACACACACACACACACACACACACACACACACACACACACACACACACACACACACACACACACACACAAAATAAAAAAACACAAAATATCCCTTTTCCACCAGCACCCCAACTTTAACCCCACCCTCCATTAGCCTGGCAGCAGGCCAAACGTATCATCAGCACTGTCGTAAACATCATCTGCTGTCGCACAGAAAGCCATACTGTATCTCCTCCTGGAACTGATGCCCATTTCTGAGGAGCTGAAAAAGGCACACAAATGCATGCCTTGCAAAAAAGGGAGTGCAATCCTGTTGTACAGCAACAAAGTGATGATAAGGGTGTTACTGGGATATGGAGGCTAACTTGAAAGTTGATATCCTTCTCCTAATCCAAAACACAATCTGAAGCTAATTGTCCTCCTTTTTATGTAATTCCCTGCTCCTATTCTGTCTGTTATTTCTTAATAAAGAAAGCCATGTAATAGCTCTTATATAAAGTTATACCCTCCATAAAGCAAATAAGACTAGGTCTACATTTACTTTATTGTGTTTATCAACATATAAACATTTTATAGACAACTACGGTAAACTAAAGAAACCCGTCCATTAAAATATAAAACAAAGGAGGTAGAGAAAAGCTATTCTTCAAGACACTGAACCCTACACATCTCCAGTGGAGCTACTAATTGGCTGACAGCAACATAACGATGTAACAGTCCGCTGAACCTAGCTGTTGTGAAGTGCTGTTGCTCCGTCCTAAGGACAGGAGGCAGCCACCCTTCTTGTGAACTGGAGTATGGCAGGGATTTGGTAAAGGGACCTTAGTATGGTCCACACAACCAGTTAGGTGGAGTTTGAGCAAGTCTGTATAAACACATGCAGCAGCATTTTTAACCAAACTATTTGGCATTGGTCCTGTCCGAGCCAGTTTTGACAACATGATCAATTGTTCAAGCTAAAAAATAAATAAATAAAAGGCTTTGTGCTGGGACAACAGAACACATAGCAATGCATTGATTCACATCATTGGATTTCATGGTGTTCAATCATGCAGAGGTCCAGATAACCTATAAACATCTATCTTACTAAGTAATGTATGTCCGGCTGGCGCTCTACGGAAAGAAAATACATCTTAAATGATCTTGATTCACTCCTAAGGACTTAAGTTATGTCATGGAGGGATTTGGATTGACCCAGACAGGAATGAAGAAGCATTAAAGGCAGAAAAAGAAGATCCTGTAGCATTATCTAAGGCTGTGAGTGAGAGTAACTTTGTGGGTCATTCAACTTACATAAGTGATTACAGAAAATGAAAGGGATTATGGAGAGCAAGTGGTGAGAGCTGCGTGATTTAGTGCTGAAAGCATTGCATTTGTATACTAAAATGAACCCAATAAATCTGTTACTTACAAATGTCTGCACTTAACCTTCAAGTGATCAAAGCTAATGGAGCAGGTCAAGAGAGCTGCAGCAGATGAGGCTTGAGACCAAAGCCAACCTAATGGCTTCCATTTAGATCGACCAGACAGACAAAAGTACAACTCTTTTCTTTTGGATAGCACTCCACTGCTATTCATTAAGCATAAGCTGCCTGGCTAATCAAAACAGTGCACATGAGTCAGAATCACGTGGAACAGAGGGCAGTGTCTGAGCAGAAGGCTTCAGTGCTCCAGCTTTGTTCTTTCAATAAAATGTTCCCAAGAATTCTGACTCGGCACAATCCAACCGCTGACAGGAATAAGAAAGGATCATTTCCTGCCTTGTGTCTTTTTTACAGAGAAGCAGCACACAGAGTGGATACATAGAGTTTGTGCTCGTTTCCCAATACCACTCCTACCACAACAGACAGAAATAGCGAGATAATTGTTGGTGTTTGTTACAGTTGGGAATATATGATCTGTGGCATCAGATGGGCAGGGATTTCTTCATTTTTGGAAAGTCTGCAACTGAGAGCTTATTGGATGTCAACTGCAATTTAGATTAGGGAAGTATTTCTGTATTTTGAAACTCATTCAATTTGATTCTACTTTTTATACTAGGACGCCATGAGATGTTCTCATATCGTGGCCAACTTTAGATGGGACAAAGTCATAGTAACTTAACACAAAAAGACAGAAGGTAGTCATTAAAGGAATATAGACTTAATATTATACCTGATACAGTCTCGTAAAAAACACAGATGTGACAAATGATCTAGCTTTGCTTATTATAATGTATGAAATAAAATAATGCCATACCCCATTCAACCTTATTCCCTATATCTATACGCAATGGTGGATGAAATGAATGATACAAGATAACAGCACATTGTTTTAAAGTGCACAGAAAGCATAAACGATAACATTTCAATCTCACACTTGATGAGTTTTCCATTGCCAAATTGGCTTTCAATTCATCAGATTAAACTGTCTGTAATTTGAGATCATAAGCAGTGAAATTAAAAATCATTCACCTCTTACCAATTATCCATTAGGAGATTCGATCAGCAAATGAAGATCAGTAGCTGATAAAGCATCTCACTGTGAAGTAAGGAAATCGCTATAATTACTGAAACTATAATATGTAAGGTTATTTGAATTATATTTGACAACGACGCAGGGCACGTGAGCATCATTTGTGGTTTGTCTTTTAGCCGTCACAAAGCTGCCATGCCCTGGTTCCTGCGCCCTATGATCACATTTGATGTGGTATTGCATGTCAGCAGTATAATGACACTGAATGCATGAAAGGAAGAACAGAAATATATATTCAATGACACTCTTCATAGCTCTTATGAGCATTTCTTTTACTCAAACTGAATTTCTATAGAGAATTGAGGTTTCTTTTGAATTCAATACGTTGGCCTTCATTGTAAGTTTTACCATCAAACATGCAGTTGTTGAACATATTTGACTTTTATTCTCACAAAAACCCTCGTGTTTCTTTAGCTCTGATCTGGTTCATGTAGATGTTTGGGTGTCAGAGTAAGTAGCTCAATATGTAGTGAACTGTCACCACAAGTTAAGATTAGGTCAGTGAATAAGGCCTTGTTTACGTGCCACACTCGAATAAATTAACTTCCATACGGCTAATAGGGCTTTATTGCTGCTGTTTGCAGTTGATTGATAATAGGACTCGCACGAATACAGTCTTTTAAAGGCTTGAGTTTAAGCCAACGCAAATTGGCGCTGATTGCCCAGATCTGATCCTTACTTTGTCTAAGCCTTTTATTGTTGCTCAATGAGTTAGTCCTAGAGAATAGAAGCAGACAAGCTGGCCAACCTGTGACTTAGGAGAAGAGCCTCCATTTGGTCCAACCTGCCCAAAGAGCTTTTGTGTGCATGTTAATATGAGTAGCGCTGAGAGGTTTGTGTGAATGAAGCTACCTTGAAAGGCATTCAGCTCTCATGGCAAAGCTTTTTTTACAAGTCAGCTGGGGAATGGGGTAAGGAGTGCAGCACAATTGGATTACTTTGATTACTTGATAGGGGAGAGAAAACAAAAACAATATATTTCAAAGGTGTGTTTTTTGGCATTTCTAACATGCAAAAAACCCAGAAGTGTTCACATTTTTGCACAAAATTCAGTTTTCATGTCAAACCACATTACCTATAGTAAGACGGTATAAAGAAAATGGGTTTCTGGGGCCTTTAATTGGCAGCCACATTCAAATTCAAGCCAAAGTCTTTTCACCTTGGGTTAATATGCAGTTTGCTCATGTGGCTGAAAAGGATCCATCTATAAACATAACCTACTGATAATAACACCTTATGCATATGCAGGGTTGGCTTTTATGGTATTTTTTAGAGGCACAGAGGCTGATTTCTGAGTGTAAGGGGGAGCATGTCATTCTGCGGTTGATGGCATAAGCCCAATGACATCAAATTATGCTAATAAAGTCATTACAGAAAGGTCATAGAGACTCTCATCGTATGGTGTGAAGCAGCTTCTGAACTGGAAGAAAACCATGGCCACGAGCGACATTTCCAACACCGTTCAAGTACTTAAAACCTACAAACACAACATACATGGATGAGCAATGCACATAGGGCATAACATTATAGCAGCATACATGATGATTAAGCTAGACCGTTATTTGCATTAATAGGCTAGACTGGGCATATAGGACAAATAACTCACTACTTATGTGTTAGTCGTGCAGTAGTCATGTATGCAAAAAAGACGGAAAACAAGCAATGAATATTTAACTAATGGCTCTCTTGTTGGCTCAAACATGTGCAAGTTATGCCTCAATTAGGAAAAATGTAAACATGACTTGCATGATGCACAGAACAGAAAATACAGCACACATGCTGGGAAACCCACCAATCATTTCTTTTTAACAACCTATAACAGACATATGCACAGTGACCAGGCATGCACACACACATAGAGCAAGCATACAATGCTTCAATAGGCTTTCTCCTCTCAGTTCTGCAGTGCTGAGGCAGGATGTTTCATTCTTAGAGGCAGATAATGAGCTCTTCCCTCTGCAGAGGACAAAATGACAGAGCCAGCAGAGTTGGGTTGTGCTGCAGAACACCCCTGGCATACACATACAGTAGACACACACAGTTTACAATACCCCAAAACGAGCTAGCAAACTTCTCCACCCTGCTCTGGCTCCTTCACACAGCACACGCACACACACACAAACCAAACAGCGAGCCCACCGCACTACCCACCTCTGTCCCCGAGCACACACCCTGAGGTGCAGCTTGCACCCCAACACGCCTGCAGCCGCAGTCCTGCTAGCGTTGGGTTTGGCAGCCGTGGAGCCGGCTGTATATCTCTGCTACAGTTTGCCTCAAGATAAACTGCAAGTCTGCTAGTGCTGGTTAGCAACTGCTGCTCATGGC